ATGTTAGTAAGCGGCAGGCATAAGTGGAACCGTGTGGCTGAAATTCAAAAAGTGCGTACAAATAGTGAAAAATGTGCGTACACCTAGTGGAGCTCTTTTAGTTCCCCGCGCCTTGGCTTCGGCTCCTGCACCTTTGAGAGCCGACCAACAAACACGGGCACATCCCCCCGCCATGGGGTGAGCTAATTGGCACTACTATGCGCGGTCGAAGGGATGTCCTAGGAAGGGAAGATGCCGCCTCCAACGATGCCGGGACCCTGGAACGTCTCCGCAGAGCTGGTCGGCCCACCCGATACGCTGAGCACAAAGGTCGAGAGACCGCTCGAGGAGGGTCCCGGCGCGCTCAACGCGTAGTTCCACCACGGCCGCACGTGGCGCGTTTCAAACACCCAAGTCCGCTCCTCACCCGCCTTCCTGCCAGACCGGAACACGATGCGGTGCCCGATATTCTTGATCCGATATGGAGCTGCGATTCTGTCACCGCCCTTGCCCTCGTCGTCGTACAGGCCCTCCATCGTCAGCGTGTCAGTACCATCTTCCTGCGGAGCATCGGCCTCGACCGCTTTCTGCGGCGCGCACACCAGCTGTCCATCACGATACAGCCTGGCCGATGCCCACAGCGCGCGCGCTTCCTCGGGCCGCCCAAGCGCCCACAACACCTGGATTACGTAGGGGCCGGCGCGCCCCCACACCCACCAGTTGAGCGAGAGGCACTTGCCCGTCGGTAACGTCGACCACCCACGCTCCATGGTGCCGAACGCGCCGTGGCCTCCCTCCCCGTCTTCCGACAGCTGTAGGCGTTTGCCCGCCTCGGGGAAGTGGCTCGATATGTCGTTTCCAGGTGCGGCCTTCTGGTCCTCGGAATGGGGGAAAAACGTCAGGTCGGCCGTGACGCCTGCCATGACAATCGGCCGCACCCACCAGAAGCTCGGCGTGAACTTTACCTCAGCCTCGGTTTGCGGCAGGGCGTTGTCGAAGTCGGCGAGGGCCGTCAGGGCCACGGTACCAACCACCTTTCCCGGAACGTCGAGCGTGACGACGGCGCGCGACAGGTCGGCGGCGACCTCGAAGCGGAAGGCGGGCGGCCCGTCGGCGTCGTTGCCGCGCCACACGCCCGTGACCCCGCCGGCCGGGTCGGCCGTGACAATCGAGTGCGGTGCCTTGAAGTCGCCGTTCCACACCGTCTCTTTGTTTTTCTCCTCTTCACCGTCGTTGCCGGCTGGCGAGGCCCAGCTAGCGTTGACCATGACGCGGAAGCCGTGGGGCGCGTGGGCAGTGCACCGGAAGAAGATGATGACGACCCCGGCGCTGCCGTCGGCCGCCATGCACTGCACTTGCCACTGATCCCAGCTGGCCTTGTCGAGCTTGGAGGGCCATTTCGGAAACAGATTTCCATCGTTGGGCACGAAGGCGGTCGGGGGGACGTGGTCTGTTGCGATCGACTCGGTGATTGAGGCGTGCGAGACAGAGGGGCTGGGGCTGGCAGTGGGAGTGGGAGTGGTGGTGGTGGTGGTGTTGGTGGTGGCCATGGCTAAGGTGAGCACGAGCGGCACGAGAGAAGTTGGTTGGTTTATTAATTTTGTGTAAGCACTAGGTTGGCCTCGAATTAGAATTGCATTGGGAGACAGTTGAAGTGCGGAGCCGTGCCTGCGCAGCGATGCAGGGCTGGGATACTAATTATATGTACTTATTACCTTGGACTCGGAATGGGAGATGCACAGGACTCCCGAACTTGCCGCTTGGGCCGGCCAGTATTGCTTCTATTATTTAAGGCTCGGAGTATTTCGGAGCTAGTTCTAAAATGCTAGAGCAGGGTGTCTACCTAATATGAGCAACATGAAGTAACAGAGGCGGGAATTTCATCGCCGATCTAAGACGGATTTGTTCTCCCTCACGGCCCCCCCTTTTAACCCCAACACAATGACTCTAGGAAATAGGTCAAGTCGACCTCCAGCTGCGCAGAAATAGACAAATTCTTATTAGGCACTCGTCTAAAGCTTCAGAGGAAACCTCTCTCGCAGATACAAGCCATACTTGTAAAAGAGAATCGGCACGGGCAAGAAGGCAATAGCGATGAATCCCAAGACACTGTTTCCCCAACCCAAGCCAAGGCTCTTGTAGAGGGGATCCGCAGCTAGGGGCAGAAAGGCGCCGTAGCCATTCCGCACCAGCGTGGCGGCTGCCAGCGCCGACGCGGCACCCTGGGGGCCGTACATGTCCATCATGTAGAGCTGTGACGACGAGGTGACCATCATGACGCCGATGCCGATGAAGGCGGTGCCGATGATGGCCACTATCCAGTGCACCTTGTACTCGGTGGACCAGGCGTAGATAAAGATGCCGATGGGAACGCAGGGGCCAAACCAGATCATCAGCGGCAGGCGACGCTCAGGCCCGCCACCCACTCGCAGCAGCCGGTCGCTCGTCTTGGCAAAGATGCCCAGGCCGATAGTAGCGCCAACCCCGATGCCCAGGTACGCCAGTCCGGAGACATCGACGGCCCAGCCGTACGTCTCCTCAAAGACAGACGGGAAGGTCGCGAAGAGGAGGAAGGTCAGTCCGAAGACGAGACCCATGTATAAGCCGATGAGCGAGACGATGGGCGAGAAGAGGAGGATACGAAACGGCCGAATTAGTGCACGCTCGACGAGCTGGCGCACCTCGACATTCTTGGCGTTGGCGGGCCGCAGCTCCAGGTTGCCTGTCTCCTTGCGCAGGCGGGCGGCCTTCTTAGTGAGGATCTCGGTGGCGTTGGTCTCGCGCATCGTGATCATGGCGGTTATTGTGACGACGCCGGCCTGTACGATATTTTTTTTTTTTTTTTCAGTGTCGGCCTCTCAACGCGAGGGAAGGGAGCTTTTTGTCGAGGGAGTGGCACACTTACAAACATAAGCACCAAGTAGAAGGTCCACCGCCAACCCAAACGCCCCGTCACAAACCCGCCGATGACGGGGCCGGTGACAGGGCCGAGCAGCGGCCCGATGCTGAACATGGCCGTAGCTGTGCCGCGCTCCTCCTTGGGCAGCAGGTCGGCGATGGTGCCGCCGCCGACGGTCATGAAAGAGGCGGCGCAGGCGCCGCAGATGACGCGGAAGAACAGGAACATGCCGGCATTGGTGCTGAACGCGCAGCCGAAGGTCATGGCCAGGTATAGAGTGCTGCTGGCCCAGTAGATGGGCACGCGCCCCGTCACTTCTGACAGCGGCGCAAACAGCAGCGGGCCCAGGGATGCGCCCAGCGAGGGAATCGACACTGCTAGCGTCATGATGACGGTGCTGGTAATGCCAAACTCCTCGGCAAGCTTCGATGCGCCTGGGGCGAACATGGTCGTGGCGATATTCCTGCATCCACATTCGTCAGCATTTGGGATATTTTCCCATTGCTAACCACTAGGTAGCTTGGTCAGTCCACACATACGAATAAAACACCGAGAGGCTAACAAGCGAGACGTTGAACATCTTGCGCCTCTTGGACCAGTTGCGAGGGTTTGCCGGGTCGTCGGGTCCGTCCCAGCCCACGATGTTGGGGTCGGCAACAGCATCATCACCGCCATTGGCCTCAGTATCAGGACCCTTCTCTTTGTCGGCGGCAGTGTCCTTGTCCTTGTCCTTCTCCCCAGCAGGGACCATGTCCTTCTCACCGGCAGGAGCCTTGTCCTTCCCATTTTCGTGCGTGGCTTTTGGGCCTGTGATATCGGGGTCGGACATGATGCTTCGTCCATTTCTGATTTCGGTTTTGTGAACGTCGCTCTCTGTCTCGCTTGCCGACATGTTCGACCTTGACCTTCGATTTGGCTAGGTAGTGTGGTGTGTGTGTATGTGAGATTATCTAATGCATGCAGGCAGGCTGCTCGTTTTTGGCGATCAGTGGTGTGGAAGCATGCGATCCAAGCCCCTGTGTGAGGAGCTGCAGTGGTGGGATTTCCCGCTTCCCGGATTTTTATACTCTTTGCGTCGTGAGAAAGCTGAAGGAACATGATCCATGTCTGGGCCTGGGTTTTTTGACGTCGTCTGTATACATGTTGCGTGATGTACGGAGCTTTTGGCGGAGGTACGGCGAAACCCGGTGGTGCCACGTTCAGTAAATGCTAGACGCTTGGAAGGTAAAGTCGTTTTTCTCGAATTTGCTCCGCACCGTTTGTCGCTCCGTCCCGCCGCCCCCCTAGGCTAAGGTACCTAGGTAGATATCGACAAGCTTCCATGAATCCAACCCAAACCCCCCACCCAATCAGCCGCTAGGCAGCATTAGTACATGATATTCCACCATAAATGTGTCTAATCCTAACACCAGCAACAGAAAGACCAATAGTGGGGCGCCTGAGGATTATGACACGAAATGCTCGTACGAAGGGGGAATTATAATCTCTCCCATTCTTTTTTTCTGAATACGAAAGCTGAATAAAACGATATTCTAATTGACCTTTCCAGCCAGACCATGTTATGGTGCAAGTGCTGGTACTGTACTGGTCTACAAAGAATTAGAGGGGTAAGCGTTCAAGGCGTCTAGACCCATGGCTACTGCGTAGATTAGCTGACAGGGTTGTGCAAGATCCTGATCCACATTGAATGCCACCCCACGGTACCTATCCCTGCCCTGCAGCTGACCTCGGACAGGGGTGCTGGAATTTTCCTTTAAAGGTCCGTCGACTGATCCGTCGATTGCTCCGTCGATTGCTCCGTCGATTGCTCCGTCGATTGTTCCGCTAAATGTCGACTTCCTCCGTCAACTCCTCCGTCGATGCCTGCCCGTGTTTGGCGATGCAGAATGGCCGAGAGAACTCGCAACCCTAACGGAACTGTGGTATGACTACCTTACCTAGACACTCACAAACGACATCTTACGACATAAACATACACCCACAAAGTTTGCGATTTCGATCCCGCCGGCGTGGTAATTGCCGACCGAAATTGTCACCGCCACCCGCAGCAGAGCAGGTCTATTTCAATGGATATGACCCCAGCTTCATCATCGTCGCCAGTGACAGCGTTCGACCAGGCACAGGCACAGGCACAGGCACAAAGACCGGCATCTTCTACCGATGACCCGCCTAGTCTGACACCGACACATGCTGACCACCCTGAGGCCGCACTAGAGGCAGAATTGGTTGACCGCCGGCGCCACAAACTGCAGCTGTCATGTACCTTCTGCCGGCGTCGCAAGTAAATCGCCCACGCCCGCCCTCCACTCTCAGTGCACCCGTGCGGATCATCAACCCTACCTAAGCTCCTTTATCCCCCCTTTCCCTCGCCTTTTGCCCTTTGTGGGAAAACCTCTCCCGCTCCGTACGCTGGCTGACTCTGGCTTGGCATGCATAGGATACGATGCGACCGTCAGCTTCCGTGCCAGACCTGTGTCAGCAAGGGAATCGCCCTGTCCTGCACCTACAAGCCGGGTCCGCAGCGAAAGGGCACAGCCACGGCTACTGTAGGCGAGCGTATCCGGGAGCTCGAGGCCCTAGTGCGCTCCTTGGTGCACCAGCAGCAGCAGGCCCCACAAACGCCCGCAGTATCGCCTTTCACAGACCCCCCAACGCACTCCTTCGGGGGTGCGGACACGCCGCTGCAGGACGTATCCGTGGGCACAAGCCCAACCCGAGGCCCCAGCAGCGGGGGAATCACTCCGATATCTTCTGCCGACGACGACGCAGTCACAGGACGGCTAACTGCGTCCCCCCTCACCCGCGGTTCGTCCGTGCTTCCCAGCAAGCCCGCGCCCTCGGAGCACGGCAGCATACCCCGGCGCATGCACTCGCACGATGTGAAATACGTCAGCAGTGTTCACTGGGCTGCCGTCCTTGACAGCATCTCTGAGCTCAAGGATCACTACGAGAAGGAGAAGGAAGAGGAAGTGAGGACGCTGGCCAACGACGACTACATGCCGCGCTACAGCCCTGGTCCTCGGCTGTTGTACGAACCTGTGCAGGCGACCAAAGCCGAAATTCTGGCCTCGATCCCGGCCCGGCCCGCGGTGGACCATATGGTGGGGCGATACTTTAATGCACAAGGCGTTGTGCCAGGTATATAATATGATTGTTTCCTTTGGTTGGAAGAGCTGGTTGGGTGTGCTAGAACGAGCTCTATGCAGAATATCTGGCTGACCTTTTGCGCAGCGTTTCTTCACAGTGGCCAATTTCTCCGAGAGGTAGGACCAGACCACGCTCTCCTTTTTTTCGTTGCAGACGTTGCAGGCGGTTAACCCCCCTTTGTCCGCCGCAGTATGAGAGCTTCTGGAAGGATCCAGTTGCCGCGCCTTTGGCCTGGATCGGCCTCTTGTTCAGCATCATGTGTGTCTCGACGCAATACCATCGGTTGGCCGAGGGCCCGACAGACCCTGAAGCGCTGATGCGCGCCTACCTGTTCCGCGACCGCACTGTTCACTGTCTCGTCCTGGGCCAGTTCACCAGAGGGGGTCCGCATGTGCTGGAGACCATGATCAACAATATTGGCAGCGAAGTATTTCTGTCCAAGGACCCGGATATTGGGCTCTGGCTTCTGCTGGGTATGGTGGTGCAGATCGCCTTGAGCCTGGGCTATCATCGAGACCCCAGCAACCTTCCGAACATGTCGCCATTTACCGGCGAGATGCGGCGGCGCGTATGGGCAGCTGTCGTGCAGATGGACCTGCGGCTTTCGATCCAGATGGGGCTGCCGCGCCTTCTCAAGTCGCAGCAGTGCGACACGGCCGAGCCCCGCAACCTGCTAGACTCGGACTTTGACGAGGCGACCGTCGAGCTGCCCCCGTCGCGGCCCGAGACCGAGGTGACACCGGTACTCTACGGCCTAGCCAAAAACAGGATCGACAGCATCAGTGGGCTGATAGGTGATCTTGTCGCTGACACCCGGGAACACCCGTACTCGGAGATTCTAGAATTGCACCGCAAGCTGCAAGAGGCCGAGGCCTCGCTGCCGCCCATCTTCCGGTGGCAGCCCATCAGCCAGTCGTTCATGGTGCTGCCGCAGATTGTCTTGTACCGTGTATGGCTTCAACTCGCCGTGCAGCGGCTGGTGATCTGGCTCCACCGCAAATACCTCGCCCCGTCGTATGCCCAGGAGCAGTACGAGCATTCACGAAGTGCCTGCGTGCAGGCTGCAATCAAGATCCTCGAGTTCCAGCAACTGATCGACGAGGAGACGCAGCCCGATGGGCAGTTGTATCCCGTACGCCGGATGCAGTCCTCGATGATACAGTCCGTCTTCCTGCTGGGCATGAGCGTGCTCTGCTACTACATGCAGCTGGCAAAGACCTCGCCAGATGTGCCGCTGGACCGAGATACGGGCGCCAGGATCCGTGGCTTGCTGCGAAACACATATCCAATGTGGCTGCGCTCGAGCACCGTATCGCGGGACGCTCGAGAGGCGGTCGAGCATCTACGTCTCTTGCTCGGGCTGGGTCGGGGTCAACAAGAACATGAAGAAGGCACACCGCTCGCACAGGAAGCCTCGCCTCAATTCGCCTCTGTATCTGTACCCCAGGACGCAGCCATCTCGCTCGACCAGGCCTCTTGGGTCGCTTACCAAGGTAAAAGAAACGATACATGAACTGAACATTCAGTGCCCTGTTGTGTTGGGAACCCTCAAGAGCGAGCACACGTTCGATGCGCGAGAGGCTGACTTGACTTTTGTCCAGAATGCATCGCAAATTTCCCCGTGGCCTTTGATGCCGACTTCATTGCCTTGGACGTGCCCGAAACGTCTCCCGCGATGGGCGCCTCCATGACGGGCTCGCTGTTTGCGGACACGGCCGAGCTGGACACGGGGTGGATGGCGCCAAGGCCTTTCTCCGGGGCGTGAGAGTCAACTTGAGGGCTGGCTGCCTGATGAATCACCCTTGATGCGGAGGGAAGGAGGAGAGCCCATCATGTCCAAGCCGCCTTTTCGCAGAAACTCGGCGTTATTCGGAAGGGAACCTTCTGCTACGCTAGAACAGAACTGGCAACCCCGAAGAGAGACATGGTGCCACCCATGCGATGTCCTGAAAAGAATGTTGACGCTGATGCTCAGTGAATCTCGCTCGAGGTTTCCCGTCTTTCCGACCTTCAGCTTCGGTGCTGCTGTGACCTCTGCAACCCCCATTCGTCTTTTAAGCGTTCACCTGCTGCTTGTGTGTCAAAATCTACCAAGTTACTATCCTTTCCCCCAGAAGAACGGATATTCATTCACCTTGGTTCAAGCCGATCCGGACATGCACCCTGGCCCTGGTTCCACCCTGCAGTAATTAGATTGTAATTAAGATTCAGACGCCTGTAATTGAAACACCACACCACGATATGGAATCACCACAGCAGGAGCCCATTGCCGTGATCGGCATGGCATGCCGCTTCCCGGGAGGCTCGGATTCTCCTTCGAAGCTCTGGGACCTGCTGCGATCGCCTCGCGACCTTGTAAAGCGTGTCCCGACCGACCGCTTCGACTCCACGGCGTATTACCACCCCAACGGCTCCCACCACGGCGCCACCGACTGCCAAGACGCATATTTCCTCGACGAGGACGTGACCCGGTTCGACAATGCGTTTTTTAAATATCCAGCCCGCCGAGGCCGAGGCCATGGATCCACAGCAGCGCCTCCTGATGGAAACCGTTTATGATTCGCTGTGCGATTGCCTCCCACCCCCCCTTTCTTCCTAATAACCGGCGGGCAAGCCGTTTTCTATCTACTAACACTACTTCGGACTTGTTGCAGGAGCGCCGGCGGGCAGACCATCGAGGGTCTCCGCGGCTCGCGGACGGCTGTGTACGTAGGCCTAATGTGCGACGACTGGGCGCAGCTGACCAGCCGCGACTGGGACCTGGTGCCGACGTACGCGGCGACGGGGCTGAGCCGGGCCATCGTGTCGAACCGGGTCTCGTACTTCTTCGACTGGCACGGCCCCAGCGTCACCGTCGACACGGCCTGCTCGTCCTCGCTCGTGGCTGTCCACCAGGGCGTCGCGGCGCTGCGCAGCGGCGAGTGCCCGGTCGCGGTGGTGGCGGGGACGAATCTGATATTGGCTCCCGGTGAGTTTGCGAGCACCGTACCTAGCTACCTACCTGTCTGCTGAGCCGAGAGTTGTTATTATTGTCTGTCTGTCTGTCTGTCTGTCTGTCTGTCGGAAACGGGGGTGCTGACATGGCTGGATGGGTGTTCAGGAATGTGGATCGCCGAGAGCAAGCTGCACATGCTGTCGCCTACGGGGAGCAGCAAAATGTGGGATGCCGCGGCCGACGGCTATGCCCGCGGCGAGGGCGTTGCGGCGGTGGTGCTGAAGCCGCTCAGCGCGGCGCTGAGGGACCGGGACCACATCGACTGCGTGATCCGCGAGACTGGTGGTAAGCAGATGGATCCCCGGATGCCATTGCCCGGCTCAAGTGGGCGACTACAAACCTCATTCTCATTCTCAAAAACCACAGTGAACCAGGACGGCCGGACGGCGGGCATCACGATGCCCAACGGCAACGCCCAGGCAGACCTCATCCGCGACACGTACCGACGCGCCGGGCTCGACATTACCGATCCGACGCATCATCCGCAGTATTTCCACGCCCACGGCACCGGCACGCCTGCTGGTGACCCGCAAGAGGCTGAGGCCATCTCGCGTGCCTTTTTCGGAGGCGATAAAGTCAAGAGTCAGGATCAGGATCAGGATCTGGATCTGCTCTATGTGGGCTCGATCAAGACCGTCATCGGGTACGCGCATAATTATATACATACATACTCTTGTTTGGTGTGTTATTTTTCTCGCTGACACGTAGGATTTGCTTGTGTGCGCAGGCATACCGAAGGCGCCGCCGGTCTCGCCAGTCTGATTGGCACTGCTCTGGCCATACAGCATGGCATCATCCCCGCGAATCTGCACTTTAATACGTTGAGCCCTCGCGTCGCGCCGTTCTGCGCCCATCTCCAAGTTCCCACCAGGGCACAGCCCTGGCCGAATCCGGGCCCAGGCCAGCCGCGTCGTGCCAGTGTCAACAGTTTCGGTAAGTGATTAGATAGATCTTGATCCAACCAACCTAGAGTGACTGAGCTGTGCTACCTAGGCTGTGCGAAGCTGTGCTAACAAAGGATCATCGCAGGGTTTGGCGGCACCAACGCGCATGCCATCATCGAGGGGATTGACCCTGTATCAGTCGAGCAGGGGGAGGAGGGGGCTGCCGCCGCGTCACTGTCGACTCCACTCACCGTCTCGGCTGCCTCGTCATCTGCTCTCCGCGCCATGCTCTCAGACCTGAGCAGCTACTTGAAGACCAGGCCTGACACCAATATGCGCAACTTGGCCCACACACTGCAGGCGCACCGGTCGACGCTCGGCTTCCGGAAGGCCATCACCTGCAAAACCGTCGGGCAAGCCATCAGCAGAATCGACGGCGTGCTCACCGACGATGCCGACAACAGCCTGTCTTCGCGATTCTACGACGTTCCCAAACCCAGTATTCTCGGAATCTTTACAGGCCAGGGTGCCCAGTGGCCGCGCATGGGGGCGCAGCTCATTGAGAAATCCCCATACGTCGGCGAGCGGATTGCCGAGCTTGAGCGTGCCTTGTCCAGCCTTCCCGACGGCGACCGACCTACCTGGACATTGCGAGATCAACTCCTCGCCGACGCTTCCGGTTCCCGGCTCTCGGAGGCGGCCATTGCTCAGCCCCTATGCACGGCCGTTCAGATAGTGCTCGTAGACTTGCTCAGGGCGGCAAACATCCAGCTGCGTGCCGTTGTCGGCCACTCTTCCGGCGAGATCGCCGCTGCTTATGCCGCTGGCTTCCTCTCAGCCACCGATGCAATCCACATCGCTTACTACCGAGGTCTCTTTGCCAAGCTGGCTCGGTCCCCGTCGGATAGCAGCTTGAAAGGCGCCATGATGGCCGTCGGCACATCATTCGAGGACGCCTCCGAGCTCTGCGAACTGGGCGATTTTGCCGGCCGCATCCGGGTGGCGGCCCGCAACTCACCCACCAGTATCACGCTCTCGGGCGACGAGGATGCCATTCAGTAGGCCGTCGCCATCTTCCAGGACGAGGGCCGGTTCGCGCGCCAGCTACGAGTCGACACGGCCTACCATTCGCACCACATGGAGACGTGTGCGGCGCCGTACCTCGACGGTTTGGCGAGGTGCAATATCACCGTGGGCCATGGCAATGGCACGACGTGGTTCTCAAGCGTCGTCGAGGGCGGCCGCGTCATGTCCAGCGAGGCCGCGCTGCAGTCCCAATACTGGGTTGATAACATGACGAGCCCCGTCCTATTTGCGCCGGCCATTGCCGACGCCCACGCCGAGGCCGGGCCCTTCGACATTGCCCTCGAGATTGGACCCCATCCGGCGCTGAAGGGGCCGTGCCTCGACACCATGGAGGTGGCGGCTGGTCATCACCGGATCCCCTACACCGGCCTGCTGGGCCGCGGCAAAGACGACGTGGACGAGCTTGCCTCTGCTCTCGGGTTTGTCTGGACGCAGCTGGGCGCCGGATCCGTCGACTTTGGCGGATTCGAGGATGCCATCTCTGGCGACGACGCCTCCTCGCACCCGAAGCGCGCGGCGGTGGTGGCGGATCTTCCCACGTATCCCTTCGACCACCCGCGCTCGTTCTACACGCTCACTCGCTTCTCGGGCGGCACTCGCAACGTGCACGCGCCGCCGCACCCGCTGCTCGGCCGACGGTGCGTCGAGTCGGAGACGGCCGACGAGGTCGCGTGGCGCAACATCCTGCGGCCGACCGAGATCAGCTGGCTCCAGGGACACCAGTTGCAGGGCCAGACGGTCTTCCCCGCCATGGGCTATGTCGCCATGGCCGTGGAAGCCGCAGCCGCTCTCGCCGCCGGCACCACCACCACCACCACCACCGAAACCGACCGGCGGCCGCTCGGCCTCATCAGTCTCGAGGAGGTCGTCATTGGGAGAGCCCTCGCCTTCGGTGACGAGTCGGTCGGCATCGAGTCCAAGGTCACCATGAGGACTGTTCGGTCCACGGACGACGAGATGTGTGCCCAGATGACCTGTCATTCCGGCCTGCCCTTCGACAGCGCCACTCCACTTGCCCTGAACTTCAGCGCCACCGTCACCGTCGCCTTCCACGATCCCGAGCCGGACACGCTGCCTGCCACCCGAGCCGACGAGATCGGCCTGGCGAGTGCCGATGCCGAGCGCCTGTACACGCAGTTTTCCAAGCTCGGCTACAACTACAGCTCGACGTTCACTGGCGTGCGGGCGATCCACCGCAAGATGGGGTACGCGACCGGCGACCTCGAGGACAAGTCGGGCGACGGCGTGGAGGACCAGCTCATCATCCATCCCGGCTGGCTGGACTCGGCCATCCAGACGGGCTTTGCGGCCTACTGCCACCCGCACGACATGCGTCTCTGGGCGCTGCACGTCCCGACGGCCATCCGCTCCGTCGTCATCAACCCCTACTTCACCTCGCGGGGCGCGGGCAGGATTCGGCAGTTACAGTACCAGTCGGTCTCCCGCGAGCCGTCCGAGGCGGCCCCTATCCTGCTTGACATCGACATCTTTGCCAGCAGTCAGGGCCAGGGTCAGGAGCAGGGGCCGGGGCACTCGCAGCAAGCATTCGTGCAGTTCGAGGGGCTCCAAGTCAAGCCCTTCGCAGCCGCCGGTCCGCGTGACGACGCCGTCCTATTCGCACGCTTTGACTACAAGCTGGCCGGGCCGGACGCGGTCGCAGCCGTCGGGGGCGACGAGATCATGCCGGCCGAGAACGAAGCCGTGATAGAGACCATGGAACGCGTGGGCTTCTTCTACCTCCGCCGCGTGCACGACACAATCACGCCCGCAGAGGCAGCCGCCGCCTTGCCGCACTATAAGTACCTCCTAGACTTTGCCGGCCGCATGGTGGCCCTGGTCGAGGCCGGCGAGTTCCCCAACATGCCGCGCGAGGCCATGGCCGACACGCCGGCCTTCATCCGGTCGCTGGTCGCCAAGTACCGCCAGCGCGTCGACATGCGGGTGCTGGAGGCCTCGGGCGAGCACCTAGTCGCCGAGATCCGCCGCAACGGCAACATGCTAGAGCATCTCATGGGGGACGACGGCCTGCTGTACCGTTTTTACGAGGAGGGCGCCGGGTTCGACGTCGCCAATGTCTGGCTCGCCCGCGTCGTCGCCCAAATCACCCACCGCTACCCGCGCATGCGCATCCTCGAGATCGGCGCCGGCACCGGCGGCTCGACCCGCATCATCCTGCCCGTGCTGGGAGACGCCTTTGCGACCTACACGTTTACCGATGTCTCGGCCGGCTTCTTCGAGCGCGCCCAGGAACGGTTCCGCGACTATGCCGACCGCCTGGTGTTTGCGACGTACAACATGGAGCAGCCGCCGGGCGATCAGGGGTTTGAGCAAGGGACCTACGATGTTGTGATTGCATCCAACGTGCTGCATGCCACGGGCAAGATCGACGACACCATGGCTAACGCCAGGCTGCTCCTCCGCCCCGGCGGCTACCTGGTCGTGTACGAGACCATCAGCAACAGCTTCATGAGCAACAACGCCATCTTCGGTGGCCTACCCGGGTGGTGGGAGGGCGCCGCTGCTGACTCGACTCGGTGCGACGGCCCGTGTCTCACGCTGGACCAGTGGGATGCTCTGGCGCGGAAGCACGGCTTCGGCGGCATCGACACGCACACCCCCGTCGAGCACAAGCTGCAGTCGTACTCGGTCTTTGCCTGCCAGGCGGTCGACGACCGTGTTCTCAGTCTGCGCCATCCTCTTGCCGCGACTACTCCGGCTCCGACTCCGGCTTCCAGTTCCAGTTCCAGCTCCACTGACCACCTGGTCGTGGTTGGCGGGAGCACGGCGGCCGTTGGTCGGCTTGCCGAACAGGTGTGCGCGCTGCTCCGCCCACGCTACACAACCATCACTCAGCTCACGTCCCTGGAAGAGCTGAGCACAACAAACACGCGCGGCTTGGCCCAGGGGAGCTCAGTCCTCTCCCTCACCGAGCTCGACGAGCAGTTCTTCGAGGCCCGCAGCGCGTCCAAGCTCGAGGCCCTCAAAGTCCTCTGGCGATACGGCCGCACCGTCCTCTGGGTTACACGCGGCGCGCGGAACCAGAGTCCATACTCGGCCATGATCCTCGGACTGGCGCGTTGCGTGCGCTACGAGCAGCCCCACCTCAACCTGGAGGTGCTCGACTTCGATGTCACGACGCCGCCGCCGGCGCAGGTCCTGGCCGAGGAGCTCGTCCGCCTCGAACTGGGCGAGCGGTGGAAGAGGGAGGGCGCCAATCTCCTCTGGGCCGTAGAGCCCGAGGTGCATCACGTCAACGGCCAGGTGCTCGTCCCGCGCCTGTGCTCGCACGCCGAGGCGAACAGGCGATACAACACGTACCGACGCGACGTGACCGAGGAAGTCGACCCGCGGGAGATGACGTTGGCGCTCCAGCCCGTGTCCAACGGGCAGGCGTTCGGTCTCTGCACCGTCTCGCCGCTGCGCCTGCTTCCGGTTATTCCGGCGGCGGTGGCCCGACGAGGCAAGGGGGGGAAGATGGTGGTCGAGCTCCGGGTCGACACGTCGCTGCTGCAGGTCCTCAAGGTTGGCGAGGCGGGCTTCTTCAGCCTGTGCGCTGGCGAGGATGTCGAGACCGGCGAGCCGCGCGTTGCCCTTGTGGATGTGGCTGTCGAGTCCCACGTGCGTACGCCCGTCGAGTGGACTGTCCGCGTGCCCGAGTCGACGGGGCCTACTACTCTAGGAGCCGTTGCAGCGCACCTTCTTGCGCAGAGCATTCTTGCCGCGGCGCCGCCCGTCGGTACGGTGCTGGTACATGAGGCGGACGACATTCTCAAGGACGCTCTGGATAAAGAGGCGGCGAGGCAGGGCGTGCGGGTTGTGTTCACGACGAGTGCGGTGGACAAGACGAAGACGAAGACTAAGACTAAGACCAAGGGAGACATTCCGTATTCCACCTTCGTCCACGCAAAGCTCCCGATGCGCCTGGTGCAGAAGGTCGTGCCGTCTGACGTCTCACTCTTTGTCAACTTATCACCCGCACCCGCAACCGGTGGCGCAGAGCTCCTTGCCCGCTGCGTCCCGCCACACACGGCTACAGCCACTACGGCGAATTTCGTACGCACACAGCCAGGTGCGTTCCCTAATGCCGAGATCGACCAGGCCGGCCAGGCCCTGGAGGCGGCGTGGCAGACTGTGGCCAAGAATTCCCGGGGTTCGCTGTATTACAAGGTCGACGTCCCCGTCATACCAGTCCAGGGCGTAGGCCGCCACTGCGCCGTCCGCGCGTCCCCCTGTGTCATCGACTGGACGGCCACGTCCTCGGTCCAAGCGTCCCTACGACCCATCGACGCCGGCACCATCTTCCGTGCCGACGGTACCTACCTCCTCGTCGGCCTGTCGGGCGACATCGGGCAGTCGTTGGGCAGCTGGATGGTGGCCCACGGCGCGCGCTACATTGTGCTCAGCAGCCGGCGGCCGAATGTGCACCCGCGGTATATCGAGTCGATCGAGGCCGCGGGCGCCACCGTCAAGGTCGTGGCCCTCGATGTGTCGCGGCGCGAGTCGGTGTACGAGTGCCATGACGCCATCCGCGCCGAGATGCCGCCGGTTATCGGAGTCGCCAACGGCGCCATGGTGCTTGAGGATGCGCTGTTCGACGACCTCGAGTTTGCGTCGGTAGAGCGGTCGTTCCCGCCCAAGGTCGACGGTAGTGTGCTGCTCGACGAGCTATTTTACGATGCGCCTCTCGGTTAGTAAATTTTTGCTCTTCTCTCGTTTATTACGGTCCCCTGTGTACATACCTTGACTAACGCGCGCATTCGAGACTTCTTTATCATGCTCACCTCGGCTGCCAATATCACCGGCAACACGGGCCAGTCGTCCTACGTCATGGCCAACCAGTTCATGACCGCACTGGCGCTGCAGCGGCGCGACGTGCGCCGTGTTCCCGGGTCCGTCATGGCCATTGGCATCCTCCAGGGCCTAGGCTACTTTGAGCACACCGACCTGCTCGAGAAAGACCACTTCGGCCGCATGGGCTACCGCGACATCTCCGAGCAGGACCTCCACCAGCTGTTTGCCGAGGCCATCCTCGCGGGCCGGCCCGGCTGCACGGGGAATTCCGAAGTTATCACAGGCGTGGCGCCCTTCCGCGACGGGGGGAACATACAGGAGCAGCTGAGGACGGACCCCAAGTTTGGCCACTTCGTCCTACAGCACCCGGACGGCGATGCGGGCCTCCACAATCTGCCCGGCGGCGGCGGCGGCGGCGGCAAGTTGGCGCGCCTGCGCGCCCGCCTCGCGACGGTCAAGTCGCGCGCCGAGGCGCTCGCCGAGGTCCAGGACGCCTTTGTCGACCGCCTCAAGCGGATCCTGATGATGCCGCCAACCGAGGCGGTCGACCCCCTGGCGTCGCTCATCGAGCTGGGCACCGACTCGATCATGGCGGTCGACGTGCGCGCCTGGTTCCTAAAGGAGCTGGACGTTGACGTGCCAGTGCTCAAGATCCTGGGCGTGGGCGAGACGGTGGCGTCGCTGGTGGAGGAGGCGGTGCGGAAGATCCCGGGGACGATTCTGGATTTGACCAAGTCGGAAGACGACGCTCCTGCTACAGCTGTGGCACAAAAGCCCAAGGGGAGAGATGCGGTAATCTCACTGGAGGACCCGAGCGCCAAGTCGTCGTTGTCGTCGTCGTCGTCGTTGTCGGATGATACGGCTTCGAGCGGCTCGCCGGCACCGCAGCCGACGACGCCCATGACGCCTCCGGAACCGGTGACGGGGGCCAGGACCGACGAGCCCCATGACAAAGAGCAGCTGAGTCAGGTGCCCGAGACACAAGACCACAAAGAAGGAGACATGTTAGCTAGCGACTGGCGAAGGGCAATCGTCGACTCGTCCACCGAACACGCTGAGCCAATGACTTTCGGCCAGAAACGCTTCTGGTTTCTGAGCCACTACATCGACGATCCCACGACGTTTAACATCGCCTCCCTAGCCAAGCTCGCGGGCCCTCTCCGTGTCCATGACCTCGCCAGGGCCGTCGACGCGGTGGCGCAGAGGCACGAGGCCCTGCGCACTCGTTTCTTCTGGTCCGACGACGAGGGCAAGACACCCATGCAGGGGATCCTGTCCAAGGCTCTTGTACGTCTGGAGACAGCCACGATCGAGTCTGAGGCCCAGGCGATTCAAGAACTTGACTCCATGCGCAACCACGAGTGGAACCTCGGCGACTGGGTCACGCTTCGGATACGGTTGCTCTCGCTGTTGGGCTCAGACACGGTGCACTACCTGCTCCTGGGCACGCACCACATCTCCATGGATGGCCACAGCATCAACATGCTAATGTTCGACGTCAACCAGGCCTACAGCCACCCCGGCCGTCCGCTGTCCCCGCTCCCCGACGCCTCGCAGGCCCGCGCTTTCGGCGAGCAGCAGCTCCTCGCGTACAGGGCTGGCAGGTTCCAGCCAGCCATCGACTACTACCGCCGCACGTTCCAATCCGTGGGTCTTGGCCGCCCCGTCGAGCTGTTCTCTTTTGCCCGCTCACAGGTGCGCCTGCCTCTCGAGAGCTACCGCAACCACGTGGCCTCGATCCGCCTCGATCCCCAACTAGCTACCGGCATGAAGCAGCTAGCGCGCAGCCACCGGACCGGGCCACCTCGTTCCACGGCTACCTTGCCGGTCTGCAGGCACTCGTGTTCCGCCTGCTGCCGGCCGAGACGACGGACAAGTTGGTCATCGGCATCGCCGACGCCAACCGGCTTGATAGTAGGTTTATGGGCAGCCTCGGGAACTTCCTCAACGTGCTCCCCCTGCTATTCGACCGCACCCCCCGGGCGCCGACCAGACGTTTGGGCAGGCCATCGAGGAGGCCCGCGAGAAGGTGTACGGCGCGCTTGAGCACTCGGCCCTGCCCTTTGATCTGCTCCTGGACGAGCTGGCCGTGCCTCGGTCTAACGCATACCCGCCCGTGTGCCAGATCTTCATCGACTATAAGCTTGTTACGAGAGAGCACGCGGATATGAGCTGGGCTGGATGTAAGGTGAGCGACCATAAGTGGCTCCTGGCGAGGAGCCCGTACGACATTGCGCTGGAAATCGTCGAGGATCATGAGAGCACCCTGGTGGTGGCCCACGTGCAGGAGGCGCTGTACAGCAAGGAGGCTACAGATCTATTCCTGAGGAGCTATGTCAATGTCCTGAGCCAGGTGGTCAAGCAGGGCGGCGACAAGGTGAGTGTAGAGAAGCTGGAGAAGTGGGACAAGGCCGATGTGAAGAAGGCGTTGGAACTCGGGAAGGGTATGTGTTTATTCTCTCTCTCTCTCTCTCTCTCACACACACACACACCCATCCACAAGCTGCTGCTAACCTGGCTGACGTCTTGCATGCATAGGCCCTGACCTGCCGCTCGAATGGCCCGCCACCGTCGCCCACCGCATCGACCAGGTCATCGCCCAGCACCCCGACAATGTCGCTGTGAAGGACGGCTTTGGTCGTATTTTGACCTACGCAGCGCTAGACGAGCTGGTTGAGAGTATTGCACGCACCCTCCGTGGGAAGCTGCCTGACCAGAGCCGAGAGCAGTCTGTTGTTGGCGTGTTCCAGACCCCAGCCGCCGACTGGATTGCCTCCCTGGTCGCCATCCTTCGTATTGGCGCCATCTACCTGCCACTGGATCTCAAGGTCTCCATCCCGCGCTTGAAGAGCTACGTCAAGGCGGCGCGGCCGGCAGCCATCCTGGCCGACACCGAGACGGTGGGACGCACTAAGGAGATCGGGGTTGAGGATCCCGTGGCTGTCATCAATGTACATGATCTCCCCGCCACGGTTGGAGAGAGTAAGGAGCGAATTACAACGGTAGCCCTGCCCAACCACCGGGCCTACATCATCTTCACTAGCGGTTCGACCGGCGAGCCCAAGGGTGTCGTCATCAAGCATGCCAGCTTCAGCGCCCTTGCGGAGGGCTTCGTCCGGGAGTGGGACATGGCCACCCTCGGCCGCGTCGTGCTCCAACAGTTTGCCTTGACCTCGGACGGCTCGTTAAAACAGATCGTGGCCGCCATCACCACCGGCGGCTGCCTCCTTGTCGCCCCCGCTGACGCCCGCGGCGACCCGACCGAGCTGACACGCCTCATGGCTGAGCACGACGTGACTTTCGCCGTGGCGACACCTTCCGAGTGGAGCATGTGGTTCCGCTTTGCGCCCGACAATCTGCGCCGCTGCACCACCCTGACTTCTGCCTGGTTTGGCGGTGAGCGGGCGCCCAAGAGCCTTCTGGACTCGTTCCGCAATCTGAGCAAGGTGCTGCCGAACCTGCGTGTCTTCAACACCTATGGGCCCACCGAGGCGACCATCTCCACCGCCAAGGGCGAGGCCGATGTGCGCGATCCCAACCTGACCGTTCCGGTGCCGAGCCAGATCCTGCCCAACTACGCCGTGTACATCTTCGACGACGAGTCGCGGCCCGTGCCGGTCGGCGTGCCGGGAGAGATCGTCATCGGCGGCGCCGGCACTGGCAAGAACGAATACCTTGATCGGCCGGACCTGACGACCAGGCAGTTCCCCGCGGATCCGTTCGCACCCCACGACAAGGAAGCCAGTGGCTGGGGCCACATGTACCGCACCGGCGACTACGGCCGGCTCGACGCCCGCGGCCTGCTCGCCATCGAGGGCCGCGTCGCCGGCGACGCCCAGGTCAAGGTCCGCGGGTTCCGCGTCGAGCTGGGCGAGATTGAGGACGTCATCATCAGGGAGGCAGCCGGTGCGCTGGCCCACGCCGTGGTGACGCTGCGCGCCGGTAGCGAGGGCGGCGACCATGATGAGGTACTCACTGCGCATGTTGTGGTGGAGAGCAACAAGGACAAGGACAAGGACAAGAGCGAGGCACAGGCAGCTGCCGAGATAGTCGACCGGCTGCGCACTCGCCTGTCTCTCTCCCTCCCTCAGTACATGATCCCGGCCGTCATCGTGCCCGTCGACCAAGTGCCCTTGACCGCCCACGGCAAGGTCGACCGCAAGGCTGTGCAGGGGCTCCCGCTCCCCGAGATCAAGACGTCCGTCACCAAGAAACAAGAGCACCAGGAGGGCCTCACACAAACAGAGGGTCGCCTTGCCGACCTCTGGGTCGCCATACTCCCGGCCCGCTCGTTGGAGGCTGGGTCGCTGGAGCCGCGATCCGACTTCTTCCGCGCCGGCGGCAACTCACTGCTGCTGGTCAAGCTACAGGCTGCCATCAAGAGCGCGTTTGGTGACGCACCGCGCCTGAGCAAGCTCATGAACACGCCCCAACTCGGCAGCATGGCGACGTTGCTCGAGAGCGAAGGTGCTGCCCCGGATTGGGATAGGGAGATTGCGCTGGACTTGTTGGACCAAGTCCCGGCGGCAGCGGTGGCTGCAGAAGCTGCGGCGCACCAGACAAGAGGTTCAAATCCTAACGGTGCCGGGCTTCGCGTCCTCATTACCGGCGCTACGGGATCTCTGGGCAAGCACACCATCCCTCATCTCGCAGCCGATGAGCGCGTCGCACAGATCGTGGTTCTAGCGAGGCCGGCCGAGGGTCGGGACCTGACCAACCTGTTCCCCGGCCTCGAAGCCAAGGTGCGCGTCGTGTCAGCTGACCTGCCATGCCTCCCCGCCAACGACACCGCCGAGCTGGCAGAGATCGACGCCATCCTGCACATGGCCGCCGACCGCAACTTCTGGGACGGCTACGGCCCTCTCAAGCCCGTCAACGTGGACGCCGCCAAGGCGCTTGCGAAGCTGGCCCTCCGCACCGGCGCCACGCTGCACGCCCTGAGTTCGGGCGCCCTGGAGGACTACGAAGCTGACAACGACGACGGCGACGACAACAACAGGTGTCTGCCGCGGCCGGACCCTGCCCATGGCTACGTCTCGTCCAAGTGGGTGGCCGAGCGCTACCTCGCCGACGCGGCGCGCCGGGCCGGTCTGCGCGTCACGGCACATCGGCCCACCAAGACTCCGGCGCCGGCTGATGGTGGGGCGGCCCATACACGGGAGAAACTGACCGAGGCTGAGGACGCGCTGGTCCGCCACTGTCTCCTCGTCTCGCCGCGTTTGGGCGTGCGACCCGACTTTGCCCACCTCGGCGGCACCTTGCACGTTGCGCCGGTCGAGGACGTGGCCGCCGCTGTAGCTGCTGCGGTCACCGCCGGCCAGCAGGGATCCCAAGAGAAGGGCCTGCGCATAGTCAACTACCCTGGCACGGCGAGTGTGCGGACCGAGGTCATGGCAGCGTATGCGGAGAAGCTTTTCAGGCAGCCGGAGAACGAGGCTGTGCAGAAGCTGCTGGCAGTCCCGGCCTTGCACTGGGTCGGCTTGGCGAAGCGTGCTGGGCTGTTCGAGTGGTTCTTGACGTCGCAGGAATTGTTGGTAACTGATGACGAAGGGCGAAGAGTGGTTTCAAGGCGGTAATTCTGGAAGAACTCTAAGGCACCTAAATAAGATTGACCTGTGGCAACGAAGGGAAAGAAAATAAATTGGATTCTTTAGCTTTATTTTTCCCCAGGTTGTGTTGGGGAGTTGTGTTCCAATAGCACCATTTGCATCTCACCGACAGATCAATTTCACAATGTCTAACTCAAACAAATTTCAGCATATGCGTTTTCTCAACTTCTGATCAGCTTGGCACGTGTGCATCAACCACGATAGTTCATCCCAAGCTGCAAGTAGGCATTGAGGAGATAGATACAGTTGCAAATAGTTTTAATTAGGACTTCTAAATTAACTTTGAAGCGCCTTTTCAAGAGGGCCTAGCCAACAATTCGCCATCACCTCGTTTCCTTGGTCGTTTGGATGGACTCCATCGACAGTCATGCTTTGAGAGTTGAATCCCGTCCAACAATCCACCACCGTAAGGGGACTCTCCGCAGTCGACACGGTTGGTCCCCAAGTGGCTATGGCCTTGTTCAGGTTGATGACCCTCTGACCGCAGTCCGCGCAGTTGGACGGACTCATGGGGATAATCTGTGCGACCTGAGTGATGTCAGCGAATTGGCCCCTGAGACGGCGATTGTTTTCTTTTTTTCTTCCTTCTTTTCTTCCTTCTTTTCTTCCTTCTTTTCTTCCTTCTTTTCTTCCTTCTTTTCTTCTTTCTTCCTTCTCTCTTCCTTCTCTCTTTTGCTTTTTCTTCTTTCTTTCTCTTCCTCAGGTTCCGGACTTACTAGAATCTTCATGGTGCTCTTGCTGGCACGCATCTGCTTGACCAGAGTATCGAAAGCGGCCAGAATCTCGGTGGGACTCTTGTTGTTCCAGACGTCGTTGGTGCCGAGGTGCATCATGACGATGTCGGGTTTCGTTTGGGACAGCCAACCAGGCAGCTGATTCTGCTGGGCAATGTTGACGGCAAGGAACCCGCCGTGTCCTTCGTTTTCACCGTCGTAGGTGAATCCGCACCCTTGGGCAGGCAGCGTCCCGACAAAGTCCGTGTTCGTAATCCCTGCAGTCTGGAGCTTTCGCCAGAGCAATGCCCGCCAACAACCCTGGAGGTCGGTCAATCAATCAATGAACCAGCTTTCCGATCACAAGTAATTTGCCAATTCAACGCGGGATGGCTTACAGGGCTGCCCGTGATCGAATCACCCAGTGCCATGATCTTGGTCTTCGCCTGAGCAGCCACAATTTGTGGCTGCAGAGCGACCAGCGCTAGGAGCCCGAATGATTTGAAGGATACCATCTCTAGGCCTTTGTGGTAATTATCAATAACACACAAAATGTATTGGGTTTGGCTGTCAATGATATTTGCTACTTGAGAGATTAGGTGGAAAGTCGGAGATTTTGTATTGAAGTTGCCCCTCTGCACGACTTGTAGAGAGTCGTCACGATTTCAGCATGGGGAGCTTGACGTTCCGCGCAGAGTGACAGTTGAAGCGCGGAAAATAACATGTAATTACGCCGGCTCGGCGGATGGCACGAGATTGGACAATCCACCGAGTCCCCAATATCTTGTAAATCACCCGCATGCAGGAAAGTTGCCCTCCCGCAACCGGGAAATCCCACGTACGGAAGGTGGGGTTCCGTAGGCAAGGCACATACATCTCGGCACGTGAGCCCTATCCCGAGAGATCTTCGACCGACTGGTGCGCTTGAAGGAGGCAGCATATGTAGTATGTATTTTAGACTCTAACATACTTTAAGGCTTGGCTTGAGGCCGAATCAAATTCCTACCCCTAATAATAGCTGTCCCGGAGTAACGTACGGAGTATACCTTAGCCAATGGCCTTGACATGATCAGTGACCAGGCACGTGAAGTCGCTGGTCCCATAGTAGATAGTGTTGCCATCATCGTGCGTTTGACCCGAGCTCAGTCTGTCGCCCCATTGCCAGAAGAGGTCGCCCGCCATGCCTTTCTGGGTCCGCGAAGCCTCTTGCCACGGTTTCTCTATCGCGCAGTGGTTGTTGGAGACGCCATCTGAACCCGTGTGAGTAACGTGAGCAATGCATTTACAGCTTCTGATTTCTGTCCAAACTTACACTCTTCGAAGAGGCAGGGCTTGCCGGCCGCCGCGCAAGCATCGGCGTGAGCCTTGGACCAGGCCGGGCCGGAGGAGGTGTCCATACTCCCTGTTCGGCAGGCACCTAATTAATAGTGTTCAAGATCGGCCTGGTAGTCGTTGCTTCACTTACACGATCCGGGATAGAAATGGAATGTCCCAAAGTCGAGATTCTTGATCTGAAGATTCTTGACAAAGTCGGTTCCCTCCGAGTACTGGTACGCGTACGACGAGTCGCCGGGCAGACCCATTCCCTCGTCGCCCAGAGTCACCATGTGGTTCGGATCCAGAGACTTGACGTAGGCGGAAGTCGTCTCGGCCCACTTGTAGATAACGTCGGTGCTGCAGCCGTTACACCTGGGCTCGTTCGCGAGCTCCCACGCGAAGATGGCGGGGGAGTTGAGGTACCGGCTGACCACAGCCTTGATGTACGCCTGGTACTGCGTCTGGGCCTTGGCGTTGGTGTACCAGCCAGTCTTCGACCCGCCAAATGCCTGGACGTATGCATTCATGCCACCGTAGTCGTCCCAGTAGTTGACAAAGGGGATGATGAGCTTGACGCCGTGCTTCTCGGCCGCCGCCACCACAGCGTCGAGGCGCTGCAGGCCGTTGGCACCCGTGTTGATGCGTGAGCCCGACGCTGACAGCGACTGGAACCACACTCCTGATCCCTCGTTGTTGACGTCGTTGAAGCCCCAGATCCTGAAGATCTTGAGGCCGGCATCGGCGAAGTGGCTCATCACCAGCTCGACGTCGGCGTCGTTGGTCAGGAACGAGATCCAGTACGAGTTGCTGCCGGCGTAGTATTTGGTTTTGCCGTCGATGTTGAACAGGGTCCCGTCTGCCGACGGGAACTTGTCGGCTGCTACGGCCCGCGTCTCGGCGGTCGTGGCTGGGAGCCCCCGGACGGCCGCAACGGCAGCGGCAATGGCAAAGATAGACAACTTCATGCTTTCGATGGGCTAATCGATCGATGGCTTGAATGGAGATTCAGGAGGAAAAGACAAATCAGTACGGTCGCCCATATAAATATTAGTCCATGACATGCATTCTTTGCCTGGCTTCTTGGCCAACCCGAGACTCCAGATATGGACTTCGGATAACCTCTTCCGCTGCTGTAACCCGTAATACACGTTGTGTAATTATATTAGGTTAGTGATCGCCGGCTCTGGGTGGTTTTGCCCTTGCATCTCATCGCTATCATGAGTCGAGTTGTGCACCAATAATCCACGACAAATCTCTCGCCTGAGCGTGTCGCCCAGAAACCAGAATTGCGCCAAGAGAGAATCGCGTTATCCCTGAGGTTTGCCAAGCAGAGCATTGTTCTTGGCCCCTAAACTGGCTAAACGGCTTTGCGACTCAAAAAGACTTGGGACCCGGGCCAGCAACGCCCGCTGTATAATTAAACTAGCGCCGAGGAATCTTCCGAGCAGAAAATGGAGCCTTCCAAAGAGTCGTAACAGAGAAGGCCATGTTTAGTGTTACGTGCTGCTCGAGCATCTCTTTCACTAGCCATTGACTTGATTGGTTTAATTCTTGAACAAGAACCCAAGAGAACAGTTGCAGTGTGTAAAAAATATCTAATGCCTAATTGGATTCTTGGTTTGAGCTAATTAGTAATTGGCAGTAACTTGACACAGCTTCTAATTAAGCAGTTCCGTCTCTATAATTACCTCTAGTTCAAAACACAAGGCTTCCTGAAATTGTCTCTTCTGGTTCCAATCTATCCTACCGCTCGGATTCCCCTAGTCCACGTCACTCCCCAGACAGCTCGTCGAACACTAGGAGAAAGCGTGCGTCTCGACTGCCGCAGCACGCGCTGTGGTCTCACTTCAGTCAACTGTCATATTTGGAGTTAATTAGATGATGGCCAGCCCCAAGCATCTCCCCGGAAAACATACCCTGCCCTGCCAGACGCAATAACTACACAGTCTGCAGTTATACACAATCACCAACCAGGCTCATAACCTGTATGTACAAGTAGTTCCTTCCACGGCGCCGGAGGTTGTTCCTGGCCAGCCACCGCGCCGGCAGCCAGGAGCAGCCTGACTGCACCCTGCCTCTCATACTCCTCGGCATAGTCCAGCGGGGTCCTGCCCCTTTCATCGCGGGCATTCACGTCCGCCCCAGCCTCGACCAGCACTTCCAGGGCCCCCGGATCGCTCGCCATGGCGGCATAGTGGAGCGGGGTCCGTCCCCGGCTTGCCTCGGAGGCCTGGCTGGACCGGAGTTCCGGATCGGCCCAGCCGCGCCGGATGATGAGCCCGACGATCCTCTCGCACCCCTCGAGGGCGGCGTGGTGGAGGAGGTGCAGATGGTCGTCCGGGTTCAGCGTGGCGCCCAGCTCGACCAGCGCCTCGCACGCCTCGGCGGAATCACGATCGATCACGCACCGGATCGGGGCGCGCCAGTGACGTTGGCTGGGGTTCGGGTCCATGCCCCAGGAGACCAGCTCGCGGATGGTGTTGGCATAGCCGCCCTCTACTGCGCAGTGCAGTGCATTTCCGTACCAGTTGCTCAGGTACGGGTCGGCTCCTTGCTGGAGTAGGATTCTGACAGTCGAGACGTGGCCGCTCGCCGCCGCCTGGATGATGGCTGTTGTTCCCATTTTCGTAGCGTCGTTCACTCCGTACCGTCCCGATTCGAGCAATGCTGCAAGGGCGCGATTCAGGCCGCATCGGGCGGCGAGGTGCAAGGGATTTCTGCTACGGCACTCGTCTGGGTTCACGTACTCCTCGCGGTAGCCTTTCCCGTAATGGTTTACTTGTGTGGCGGCCGCAATCGCTGCAGGGGAAGCGAAGAGCCGGGAAAGAAGTGTCCAGACTTCGGGGTCGGACTCAACAGGCTTCACGTGCCGGCCATAATGCTGCGTTGCATATAAGAGAAAGGGAGACGATCGGATTTGCAACGAGATCTCATCTTGGGTCTCCCAAGGGCCGTCCTTGAAGTCTTCGAAGAGAAGATATTGCAGGCAATTAGAGGCGATATCTGCTTCGGCTCGGGGGAACAACTGTCGACTATGGCACACCAGGTATTCTTGGATGGCGTGATGCGCGGGTCTCACAAATGCTGTCTCGGGGTCGATCGCGACGAGACCCTGGCAGCACTCGACGACCACGTTGGGGGACGGTCGATATTTCGGGTTAACCCTGGTTTGGTTGGGTCGGATCGCCAAGGCATCGCTCAGTTCTGCGATATCCAGGGGCCGTTTCCAGTGTGTGAGGTACATGAGTACGCCCATCCCGATGCGACCCCTGTTTCCAGCTTGTCGCTGTATGCGTGCTACCGTCTCGCCGAAGGCCTGTGTGAGGTCGCGAGAAAGCTCCTCAAGGCGGTCTTCCATGTCTCCAATCGTTGGCTCCTTTAGTATGGTTCGAACTTGAAGTACGGGGAGAAGAAACCTGCAAGGATGAGTTATTTGTCGAGGTATTCCACTTGGGAGAAGGGAGACGGAAGGAGGGAGACGGAAGGCAAGAGAAACAACTTACATTCCATCAGCTCTATCTGCGAGAGTGTTGATAATCTTATTGGCAAAATCCTCATCTGCTATGTCGTATATACCACCGTGAAGCAGCTCCTCACGCAGATACGTCTTCAGATCGTCTCTCTGGGCTTTGATTTCGATCTGAGGGGAGTTGCAAAGCGCGTAATGAACATCCTGGATGTGAGGGCGGCTCGTTACCAGCACTCGAACTTTGGAGCTCTGGATCAATTGCTCAAGGAACTGCAAGATGGGTCTCCGGGAGCTCGAACCATCACACTCGTCGAGGGCGTCAATTACCAGATAGGCGCACTCCAGGTTTTGCACGACATCCAAAATCAGCCTTCCGCATTCATGAAGAGGTAAAGAGCTGGAAATGGGAGAAATCCTCTCATAAAGTTCGCCGACGGGTTTTGGAATCTCGGGCATCATCTCGACGAGTTGCCTGAGGACCAAAGGCCACACTTGGGACGGCGTCTGAAGTTCCTGCTCCTGATAGTCGAAGTAGATGAATGCCAGTGGGCAAATCGGACCGCTGGCAGATTCCAGTATGTCGTCAACAATTATCGAGCTGAAAATAAGTTAGCTGGTTTCTCTAGTCAACTTCGACATGGCAATGGGCGATACTCACGTTAGGTTTGTTTTGCCGGAACCTTGAATTCCGTGGCACCAAAGAGCATTCGACGGCGAGCTGCCATCCTTCCACTGGCGGTACTCAATCTTGTCTAATATCCAGTTGCCAGTGTTCGGAGCTCGAGATGTTTGGAGTGCCTGGTGCTTGTGGTCATGCCTCGCTGTCGAGATCCAGTCCAGAATCTGGCTTCGTGTTTCCGTGTTGGCACCATCTTTGAGCATCTGCGTCTGCTCCTGGACAGCGTCGAACATCTGTGCCGTGCTAGACTGGATTGCTTGGATCGATTTAAACTGGTCAAGCTGCTGGCCCATCACCTTGACGACGTCATCCGAAGTCCGAGCGAGCAGCCGGCATCCATCAATGGACAAGGCAAAGTGCATCCACTGCGTGAAGTTTCGTATCTCTTGAATGGTGGTTTGATGCTCCTTCTCGCTCAGTGGCCACAGGAAACGACTCATCCTCCCGTTCGATTCATGACCCAACTTCTTGCAGAGGGATCGTAACTTGGTTTCGCACGCGGCCGAGCAAGACAAGAGCACCGAGGACTGGTCAAATCGAACATCAAATGCCTCAAGCGTGCCGCTACCGAGAAGGTCATTGAGGCTCCTCAAGCTGACTTGCAACGCCTCGAGCTCGGTGATCAAGGTCGTGATTGACTCCCTAGCGTTCCGGACAGCAGTCATATAACTTCGCGCGGATTTTATGGCAGTGGCCACTAACGGCAGGACGCCTGCAACACCCAGGGATAACGATACTGGGTCCATGGTGCTTTTGTCATGACATGGTGAGACTAGCAAAGAACTGAGGATGGCTTGAAGAGTCGAAGATACGAAGACGCGAAAAGGATTTGGGAAGGAATCGGGAGAATATCAGGGACCCCACATTTGGGCGGCCTCATGCACAGAGAGAGGAGGAAGGTGTGTGGGATTCTAGCTCACGACTCAGCCACAGAATAACAATCCAATAAGAGCTGCAGGCAACCACTAAACGCCAGCTACGGTAGAGACATATACTGATGCAGTAGGCAGTTGCTGTTCACGCCTGGGGTCTGTGCGCTGCAGGTGGTAACAGGCGGTGAGGCAGGATTCTGAGCGACTTGTCTTGAACAGGACAAGTAGGCATAAATACCTCGCATCTACCCCAAAACAAGACAAGTCTCAAAAACACTGGACTTCAATCGCAACAAGGTTCACATCAAAATTTGCCACTTCAAAACTTGCCATCAATCATGACAACCCGATCACTACCACCCCGCATGTCCAAGGAGAAGCACGCCGAGAGACGTAAAGGACTCATGGAGTATCGACGCGAGGTGACCGAGGGATTTGACCTCGTCGCGATGGCCCTTGAGAATCCGAAACAGCTCAGCGAACAGCAACGGCTTGCTCTCCTCGGCCGCGCGCCTTACACTTATGACCAAATGGTCCTCGTCCAGAAAGTGACAAACAACAGGTTCGGGAGTGCGGCAAGTCTGGTCTCAGCTGCATACAATTGGTACTGCAATCTCGACTCCCCAGCAGACTGCAAGCTGATGCTGTGCGACGTCCGCCACCTCGACGACCCTTCCCAACTCGACGCTGAATATGCGGCCCAGCTTCGCGCCGAGGCAGAGCAGACGCCCGAAGAGCGTGCTCGCGAGGCGGTGCGCACCCTGTCCGAGAAGCGCGCACGGAGGAATGCTAGGCGCTTGCTCCCGGAGCTGGAGAAGCTGACGGCTGAGGAGCTGCACGAGCTGGCCGAGAAACGTGCGGGGTCCACAATCTGGAGGCGGGTCGAGCCGGCGTTGCCAGAATGGATTAATGATATCATGACACGCCTATTCCACTATGGTTTCGCATACTACCGAAGCAAGGAGGTCTCCGACCGCTTTGGCGATAAGTTTGAGGCCGTCTGGAAGAGACTGGAGCGGCAGGCTTCATCAATACCTCCGTACGACGGGCAAGAGACCATCGTGTGCCGAGCTGGAGTCTTCTCAATATACAAATCCGGCTGCCTAGAGTCCGCCATCAACGAGGTGGAGTGGTCCGAATACCAGGCAACCGAAGACGATCTGTCTTCCATAAGGAGGTATGTACCGGGCCGAAACCCCCGCGCTGTCAAAAAACGGCGCAGTGATTTACAAGAGACCATACACAGACATTTTCAAGGCGCTCGAGACAAAATCGACCCAGACTCCGGCATCCTCACCAACACATTCATTGTCCTGACCTTGGAATGCATACACCGGGATCTTTTCACGGCAGAAGAGCTATCGGACTTGCCCACCTGCTGGGTATGGGCCTACGATGCCGACTGGGAGCCGCCGCCGGGTGCCCAGGCAGATGACGATGGTTATGAAGGGCGCGTGAAGGTCCCGATTGCGTGTCTGCATGCCTGGTTCTATGGCGCGCGGGTGGAGGCGGAATACGACATGAAGCAGCTCTGGAAGAAGGCTCAGTCCCATCCCGAGCAGCTTTACGTCTGCTGCACTTTGCCGCTGGAGGAGTGGAACCATGAGCCATACGTTTGAAGAGCTTACTGGGTTGTCTTTGACGGTCGAATGGGAAATAATTAATTACACAGTGATTAAATTGAACCGCCTCCAAGAAGCACACATGTTGACCCAAATATGCATGAGCTTAGTTTTCTTGGAAGAGGTTGTGGTCGAAATGAATCAGAATGTCCACCTGAGACCGATACTGCAGGAATTTATCGAGTGCTGTTTGCGCGTCAACAATGTCCTGCGCCCGCGGCTGTCCCAGCTTGGCATTGCTGGTCAGGTCAATGATGCGGTTGGTCCACAATTCGACCAGCTCTTTTGTACGAACTGCCATCCAGGCTTTGCTGAAGTCAACCATACGATCCACATGAAGCGCCATGAAATCCCGCCAGTGCCAAGCAGCAATATTCAGGTCCCGTGGTCGGCGGCCAGTGTTCGTCCACACATCCTGGATGTAGGCAGCTTCAAAGTCGGCCAGCACGTCAGCGACAGCGACGTGAGTGTGTATTAGGTTGTTTTTGATGCCGTCGTGCCTTAGGTACTTCCAAACGCCAAATATCTAAACATAATTAGTTGGTTAATGTTGGGGTGTTGTGCCAAGGGAAAGCCGCCACAACCGACAGGACTCACCAGATCAAAGGTGGCACCAGCCACGCCTGCCGCCTCCAGGTTTGGTTTCAGGACTGCTCTCCATTTGCCAATGGCCATGTGCTCTTTCAAACCCCAAATCTAGAGAATCAGTGTCAACGTGGGCTTAGGGTTAATTACCCGAGAGCAATACGCACCCTGGCCTTCATGCCATTTAGCTTCTCCTCACAGTTCACCATATCATGGGGATTGTCTTTGGAGCCCAGGGCCTTGAACATTTTCTCCATCGGCGATGCGCTAGGAAAACGGTCCCACCACTCGTCAAACCCATGAACGAACTGGTTCCTCCAGATATGAGACTCGATTTGCACGTTGGGGTCCCACATGGAATCCAGAAGCCCGAGGCCCGAAGGCAGCTTGACGGCAGGTAAGTGCCCGACAATCGTAAACTGCATGAAATCCCGGATGGTCTGTAGTTCAAGAATATGTTCGGCTTTTTGGACACGACCAACCCATGTTAGCAAAAGCTGACTGGCGTTGCGGGGCGGGGGAAGAACTTACAAACCCACCGTCCGTCATCGTCGTCCCCCTCCTCGTCTATATCTCCGTAACCACAAGCGTTGCCGTTGCTGACAAAGAAGCGGCGATTATCCCCGTTTGCGGCTGCCAAGTTGTTGCCATCTGCTCCGTTCACGTAGGGCTCCGAGAAGATATAGAAATCGCAGCCCTGTCCGCATATGATCTTGAACTTCCGCCGCCCGCCATCGCGGGCGAATACGACGCCTGGGAAAGGGTGGAGTATATCGTCGATCAACACCGCAGCCCAGTCCTCGCCATCGTCTGTGCCGCCGTCATCCGGGTCGCCCAGGAGGGTTGGATCCATCATGCCCACCGTGTTGATGTTACAATACATCCGAGACAGGACCAGCTCCCCTCCCCTTGCCATGTCTTCGTATTCTTCGATGTCGCACAGGGTTGACCGTGCTGCGTTGTCCATTTTCCTGAGCACCATCCGGGTCGGACCCCACGTGTGAGAAAGCGCGCCTCCGTCCAGATGCGGCCAGTTTCCCAGAATTTGTTCGTCCCACATCTCACGCTTCGCCTGGCCGAGCTCAGAGCCAGGAGAGTACCGCAGCACATCGGTCAGCACCCTCTCTGCCGCAGGCGGGGCACTCCTGAACGCTCCTTGCCGTCTGACCACGGAGACGTTGCCAGATAGTGTTGGCGTGGACCGCGTGTGGAAGATCTGGCCGTTGTCCGCCGGACACACCGGGTCGGCGGCCCACATTCCGAGGAGCTCTTTAAGGCGGTCTTCCTTCTCCTGACTATTTCTAGCCGGCGTTTCGTAGCGAGCGTAGCAGCAGTATGCCTGCCACTCGCCAATTGGGCAGAACGGCTGGCCAAAGTCTGACACGGTGACCTTGACCTTGTTGTCGGGACAGCCGCTTCTGCAGGTGCCAGGCTCGTCAAATACAGACCAGGGGCCGTAGCCCGCGTACCAGCCACAGCCGTCCCATGCGGCCCTGTCGATTGTGTCGCAGCAATATGGCCGATTCCCAGGGCAATGCTGCGCTCCGCTGCCCCGGGTTGCCCCATACGGTATCAATAGGTCCGGGAGGTTGGAATCCCAGGCACAGGCATCCTGGGAGGCCAGAGTGCAGTCGGGCTCCTTGCCGTACCACCTGCACTTGGCCCAGACTTGCATCGACTCGATCAATTTAGTCTGGTCGTCCGGGTGATTCGGGTCCTCTCCCGTCTCACAGCAGGCCACTTGTGTCTTCCCGTTGTTGCATGCCACGCCCAAAGAGGCGATCTCCGACTGGCCGCTGGGGCACTGCGGGTCGCATTTGCCGCCTTTATGGTTGTACCAACCGCACTTGGGCGTAGGGCCGGGGGGGCAACAGAATCTCCGCCCTGCAATGCCGGTGGGGCATCCGGTGCCGTCGAGCATGACTTCGTCGTCACGGTTACGGTTCTTGTCCACCCGGACAATGGCCTTCCACCCTCTCGGGCATCCGTCGCCGCAGTTGGTCCACCGACACTGGTCTCGCGGTATCAAGTCGCTCGGCCCCGCGATCACCACCCCCGCGCGGAACGGGTCGGTCCAAGTCGTGACCGAGCGGGATGCGTGTTTCGTCACCGTCTGCAGTTGCTTGGAAAATGTGCCATCGAGACGGTCCTGGCTCACGGCCCACACCATGACGCCCCCGAGGCACTGGCTCCTCGCAAAGTCGACCTTGAGCGCCCATGAGTCTCCGTCGTCGTATGTGATCCAGTCACGGCCAGTCGAGAAAATCTTGACCGCGGCACTCGGCTCCAGCGTCGGGGTGACGCGCCTCCTCTCCACTAAATCCAGCACTTCGGAGTTGGTGAGGACGCCGACCTGGCCGGAACAGCGGCCCGCGGGGCTACCCGAGTCGAACAGGCAGCCCGGCTCCATGCAGTTGGGATCCGAGGCTGTGAAGGTACGCGTGTAAAACGCAAGACCTAGCACGACCTGGTCTGGGTTGATGTCGTTCCTCCACAACAGATCAAGGGCATCCTTAATCTCGGTGAGGTTGGTATGAGAGTTGAGATGATTTCCGAGCCACGAAGTGGGGGAATCCCAAGTTCCTGCCGGGAGGGCAGAGTCAGACAAGGGAAGGGGTGAGCAACGGGGTGAGTAAGGGGGCTGGCTAACCATGCAAATCATAGCTCATAAGGCTGAAGAAATCGACGCTGTCGGCAAGCTTCTTGATGTCGAAATGCTGGAGGTACCAGTAAGACGCAGGGATTGTGATGCTCAACCCGTTTCTCGCGCCATTCTGCGCAAGGGCATTCTTGAGGTTTCGCATAAAGATAGGAAAGTTTCCAAAATCTTCACCACGACCGCTTCGATCCTCAGCCTCTGGGTACTCCCAGTCAATGTCCACTCCGTCAAAGTCGTACGTGTTCATGAAAGAGATGAGAGAGGAGATGAAAACTCTCTGGTTCGCCTCTGACCGAGCAATGTCCGAGAAGGTCGTGGCCGTTGGGCCAGGGTCGTTGAATGTCCAGCCGCCTATTGCGATGAAGACCTTGAGTGCGGGGTCGGTCCTCTTCAGGTTTGTCAGGCGAACATAGAGATCTGGATCCCCAGCTGCAACCGGCACGACCTTGAAGGTGACAGGATCAATACTCGCAAAGGCAAAGTTGAGATGGGTGTAGACGCCAGGGGGGATATCTTCGGGTTGGAACTTGTCGCAAGGTCGGCCTGGCGCCCAGCCTTCATAGTATCCGACGACCCTCTGCATGGGCTGCTGGTTGTTGATTGCGCATGATGGTCGCTGGATCGTTTGGGTGCCACAGAATTCCTCCGTCACGCCACACCATCTAGGCAGGTTGATTAGCCAAACACGTCTATCTTCCTTTGGGCACTTTGAGAGAGACAGCAGCACTCACCCCCATTTGGAGCAGCAGACATTCAGGGGGCAGTGGGCAACCTCGGAATGTGCCGGGCCAAAACCTCCTGGGTCGCAGTAGCTCTTGGCATCACAGCCCGCCACGCAGTTTTCCGTACTGCAATCTGTCCATCCTCGTCAGCTGGTTGTGTGGAAAGGTGAGAGATTGGGTGAGAGAAACCGGGGGCAAGCACTTACAGTCCGGGCCAAGGCCACAGAATCCAAACTTGGAGCAGCAAGTGCCATCCTGGCACGGGTTGTCCTCGTCGCAGCCGAGCCTGAAATCACAGGTGCTCTGGCATCCGGCACCACAGTGGGATTCTGTGGTGCCGCAAAAGCCGAATTCACTACAGCATCCGGTCGCGCAGTGGTTCGTCGCACTGCACTCTTGCCCGAAGGAGAGTGAAGGTAGCAAGAAAATGAGGGTGCCAAGTAACAAAGGAAGGTAGGCGAAGAGGCGACGGGGCCCCATGGCGACGATGGTAAAAGAGAGACGATAATAAGGAGTGGAATTCGGGCTGTCTAGCCTGTTGCTCGTGGCAGCATTATGCCATCAACAAGTTTAATCTTCCGATGGAGAGAATTGGAACGGGCGACAGTCAAATACCACAATACAGGAACTCCATGTGGGCTCGAGACACGGCTCCTTTGCATTTGGAAGCCGCCATTAGACAGGGGTGAGATATCTACACTAAGAAAGAGTTCGTCTAAGGCGCGAATCGCGGAACCGCCCCCTCCCCCCCCCTCTCTGATAGGGCCTTGGCGAGATGTGATCGAATTATTGCCCCTGTATTGCTTATCCACGGCCAGAATGTGAATGTAACTACGGGGTTGGATTAGACAGACGCACACCCATCGAGTCCTTGTCTAGTAATATCGCGACATTCAATACGGACGTATCTTTCACCCCGGATGGGTCCGCGGACCTTGGCAAGTTGTTGTTGGGGGTCGCTTCTGCATAGACGCCACAGTGGAACGTGGTTAAAGTTCCTGGAACAGAGTCATTCCGCACCCAGCTAGAGGTTGGATTTGGTACGCTAGCATTCGATATTCCACCCGGGGAGGATCCGCGTGCCTTGGCGGTTTGTGGGGGCACCCCGAAATCTTCATCCCTTCCCCGAGCAGTGTACGAATCTGTACTCCTTCATTTCGTGTATATGCAACAACAGCTACTAGCGGCCCGATCCCGAGTTTGGTCGGGCCTTGGCAGTCCGATTCAGGGATGGCGCAAGTACTCGACCTGCACTAGAGGCTGGGCATCGTGACGTAGAATGCCCCCATATGCAGGGACTTTTTCACCGACGTGGGTGTTATCAAATCAGATGTGGGGATTTAAAAAAGAATACAAACATTGGAAATGACAACCAGGTGTTCAACCGCCGACCAATTTGAAGAAACGATAGTTCCAGGAGAAGGGTAGGATCGTGTGTTTTAACATATTGCCGGACTGCCGATTGTTGCTCGAGGATGGGCGGCCGCTGTTGGGAGACGAGGGAATCAGGGGGCTAACTGGACTTTTACATCTTCAAAGTGCCTGGTTTAATTATGGACCCCATGTCTTGACCTTCCCCGACTTCGCTGCCTCTCTCCCCGCCTCGCACAGTCTCCATGGCACAAGATCGTGGACTTGAAGCTGTTCCGCATCTATGAGCCTTCCCACATTCTTTACTCCTCTGACGAGACTGCCAGCCCTCGAAAGCAGCCATGGCCGCTCGCTCCGCCAATCTTTTTTACCCCTTCACTATGTTGGCCACACTCATTATTTTCCTTTTTCTCGCTGTTGATACACAACATGTTCTCGCCTCCGCTACAAGCAGACACGGCCGCCACCCAGAATTGCACCACCTTGGACGCCGCAATGGCTCCTTCACTGGGAACCTCACTCTCTCCTCGGCCAGGGAGCTCCTCTCCAAGGGGCAAGCGGCAATGGCCCGCGCCAACTCGGAGATCCTGAGGAACCCACGCCCCAACAACTACAACGTCCTGAACTCCACGGAGCTGGGCCAAACCCTGACACCACCTCCTGCCCTCGACTACAGCAACAGCACCACCTCGGTGCTCAGCCGTAGGCGGATAGGTGTAGGTAATAGCACTACTCGCAGCAACTCGAGCACTGCGAGGTACTCGGTCCCGCCTGAGCTCTTAGAAGCTGCCCGCATTGTCGCGGAAGCTGGCCCCCCACCAGAGGATGATACCAACTACGCGTCGATCGTTGCGAGTCTGAAGTCTCGGTTCAAGCCCGCTAGCAACGATACAGTTGCCATGCCCCCGATTCTGAAACATGCTTCCGGGCTGCTGGAAATTGTCACGGACCCGCCCTCGGCCTTCCGGTACGGTTCCAACTCGTCTGACGGAGACCCTGTGTCGCTGCCTCGGCCGGCCCAGAAGCGAGGTGCGGAAGACTGGTGGATGGCCAAGATCGAGCACCGAGGCAAAAACCCATTTGCCCCCGCTGGATATCAGGTATGCGGGACGTTTGTGGAGACTTATACACAGCCGTAACTGATCAAGGAGCACAGGTTTGGAGGAACGTGAAAGACTTCGGTGCCGTCGGTATGATATAAACCCTGCTGTAGAACAAAACTATGTTTGCGTGACAACTGACCTAGAGTATCATAGGAAATGGAATTGCTGATGACACTGCTGCAATCAACCTGGCTATTTCCAGCGGCGGGAGATGTGGTGAGAACTGTGGCGGAAGCACCGTCTACCCAGCGACAGTCTACTTTCCTCCAGGGACATACCGGGTGAGCAGCTCCATCATACAGTACTTCAACACGGAGCTGCTTGGGAATGTGAGTTTGTTTCTGTTTCCCTGGGCCATATCACGGGCCTGATTTGATGATGATGATGATGATGATGATGAATGCCAGAGCCTAATTGCTAACACCATACAGCCCTTGGACGTTCCAAAAATTGTCGCCGCGCCCAGTTTTGTTGGCCTGGGAGTCATTACTTCCAACATATACACCGGAGCACAATCCGAATGGTATGTAGTCCAGTCTCTGCGTCGTGATTAATTACTTGGTGATCCAACAAGCCATGATTCTGAAATCCGACACTCTTGCTAGGTATTTGAATACGAACAACTTCCTGCGCAGCATCCGCAACTTCATCATCGACGTCCGTCAAACACCGCAAGATGGCCAAGTTTGCGGTATCCATTGGCAGGTTGCTCAAGGAACCTCTCTGGAAAACATTCGGTTCTACATGACCGACCCAAGCGTAGACCCGACGACTACGCAGCAGGTGAGTAAGCTTGTGTGTTGTAATCAAGTCTTTGGCTGAATATTAATTGCTGACTTTTAATATTCCAACTCCAGGGAATTTATATGGAAAACGGGAGCGGCGGTTTCCTCTCTGATCTCTACTTTGTGGGGGGCAAATTCGGGTGAGCTCAGTCAACTTCCCTCCTAAGTTTAACCCGAACCTTTTGCTCATGCCTATGCTTTTGATTCAGTGCATATATGGGCAACCAACAGTTCACTGCGAGTGGGCTGTACTTCAGCAACTGCCAGACGGCGTTGCAAATCCACTGGGACTGGGGCTGGACCATTCAAAACGTGGGCATTGAAGATTGCGACACAGGGGTCATCATTGTTGGGGGCGCTGGCGGGGTAAGTAATATAGTTGCATGACTGACAACCTTCCCCAACTGTTCCCTTGCTTCACTCGCTGACATTTTATTTCTGTTAATTATAGCCCTTCAGTACCGGCCAGGGTGTGGGCTCTCTCATCCTCACCGATGTGATTATGACCGACACCAATGTTGGCATCTCCACGTCCTTGTTTGCCGACAATTCCACGGCTTTCTTGCTCTCCAACTCCCGTTTTACCCATGTCAACCCTATTGTTCGTGACGCCGAGAAGAACACGGTGCTCCTCGCAGGCGGCAGCGGCACAGTCGTGGTCGATGCATGGGGATTTGGCAAAGTGAGCAGCCCTGCAGGTGACGTCGCCTTTGTGAACGGAGCCACCATCGCAAGTCCTACTCGCAATCTATATTTGACCAACAGCGCTACCACTGGAGGTACCCAGCCGCAGTTCTTCACGAGACGACGGCCAAGCTACTCCAACATTGGTTTTAGCCAGCTTATTGACGCGAAAGCGTACGGTGCCAAAGGCGATGGAGTCGCTGACGATACGGCGATCCTCAACCACCTTTTTAGTGCGGCCGCAAACATGTCCGCCATTGTGTATATCCCCTTTGGTGTGTATATCATCAAGGATACTGTCACCATCCCGGTGGGCTCGCGCGTGATTGGACAGGCTTGGCCGCAAATCATGGCAACGGGGCCCAAGTTTGGCAACATGAACAATCCCCGTGTGGCTGTTAGAGTTGCCGAGAAAGGCCAGGCCGGCGTGGTTGAGATACAGAGCCTGATGTTCACTGTCAGGGGCCCGACTGCTGGGGCTGTCCTGGTCGAGTGGAACGTCCACGAATCTTTCCAAGGATCTGCCGGACTTTGGGGTAAGTTTGTCCGTCCCCACATGAGCGAAAGAGTTCTGCAGTGGTCAGCATTGCTAACTTTTCCTCCCACAAAAGATTCCCACTTCCGAGTTGGTGGAGCAGCAGGCACCGACCTTCAGCTGGCTGACTGTCCAAAGCTCTCAGGCAGCATCAATCCGAATTGCATCGCCGCCTCGTTGATGCTCCACCTTACTCCCACGTCGTCGGCCTACCTTGAAAATGTCTGGGTCTGGTCTGCAGACCATGATATCGACCAGAATGATCAAGACCAAATTGACATCTACTCGGCGCGAGGAGTGTTGATCGAAAGCAAGGGCCCGACCTGGCTTTGGGGTACTTCGGTGGAACACTGCGTCTTATACCAGTACCAACTCTCTGGTGCGAAGAACGTGGTGCTCGGCCTGATCCAGACCGAGTCGCCCTACTTCCAAACCGTCCCGGCAGCCCCAGCGCCGTTCACCCTGGGCGCGTTCCCGGATGATCCGACTTTTGACCACTGCACGCCTGGTTCGGGTCGCTGTGCCATGTCCTGGGGCGTGAGGATCCTCGATTCGTCAGCGGTCTACATTCTCAGCACTGGACTGTACACGTGGTTCCAGGCCTACGACCGAACCTGCATGGATACCGGCGCAAACGACTGCCAGGACAAGGTCTTCTACACCGAGCAGAGTTCAGATATTTGGATCTACAACCTAGTGACGATCGGCAATATCGAGATGATCAGTCCACTGAACGGGGCTCCCACCTTGGCGGTCAACAACCGTAACGGGTTTGCCTCGTCAATCCTCGCGTGGCTGGGCGGAGGAGATCAAGTCACGGGTGAGCGGGAGTTTGAGGGCTTCAGGGTCTATGGACAGGGGGCTCTGGACCGTTCGGATTTCACCGGGACTTGCAAGACTGCCCTTTCCGCGCTCGTGAAGTGCGACGACCTGGCCAGAACTTTCCGAACGCCAAGCTACCATGGTGTTCTCCCCAACACCGACATCTCAGACTCGGTGTGTGATCCTGGGTGTGCGAGGTCTTTGCAGAACTGGATGACGGCTGTGGAAGCGCTGTGTGACGGGCAGCTGTGGGAAAACGGCGCCCCGGCCGAGATTATTGGCGGCTACATCCAGTATGGCGTTCAAGAAACATGCCAGAAGCAGCAAGGAACGGATCAATATTGCAACGGTAAGTGCAAAGTGCGAGATCCAATGACGGGGGAAATCCATGCCCAAGTAGCTAACCACACACACTCACACCTGTCTGCACACAGATGTCATTGTTGCCTTCAGTGACTCGGACGACATCGTCAGCATGCCCACAGCCGAGCTTTGCTCAGACTGCTATCTTGGGCGGCTGAAGATGATGCAGGCCAGTCCGTACTCGATATTCTCATCCTACCCCTTTTTCCAAGACACCTTGGACCAGGCCATCACCCGATGTGCCCTCGCGAATCAGCCAACAAACACACATCCGCCGCTTGTGCCTCCCACGCCGACGCCGACACCGTTTTGTCTCTCTGATGTTGAGTATGTCACGGCGGCGGGGGATACCTGCGACTCCATCGCCCTCGCACACAGCGTGTCGTCGGCGTCCATCTTCATTGGAAACCCTCAGATCGGAGACTGCAGCAGCGTTGTGCCCGGTCAGACAATTTGTCTCCCGCTCCAGTGCAGCACTTACACGCTGCTGCCTGGGGATGACTGCCTTTCGATAACCGTAGACACGGACGTCCGACACGACGATATTCTGCGGTTTAACCCCTGGATCGACATGGCCTGCACGAACATCGAGGCCGCATGTCTCATGTACGGGAATATCCTGTGCATCTCCGCACCAGGCGGCGACTTCGCCCACGAGGTGACCAGCGAAGACTCAGACCCCGCATACCGAGAATATGCCCCGGAGATTGTAACACCCCCCGATGGTGCCACGGTCGCCACAGGAACGACGTTGAACTGCGGGCGTTGGTACACGGCGCTTGCAGGCGACGACTGCGCCATCATCACGATCCAGAACCATATCAGCCTCCGGCTGTTCGCTCTAATCAATCCATCCATTGTGGAAGGTGTGTGTGCAGAGAGTATTGTGGCAGGCACCACGTATTGCGTCGGACCGATTTTCTACTGGGACCGGGATTTAGGTTTGGGCATAGGCACACCCTACGAGTCTGTCGGGTGCTACTCGAGCAAGGTGGCCGGAAAGACTGCCCTGATGGGAGACTGGTTCACCCACGAGACGAAGACCTCGGTGGTGTTATGCAAGGCATACTGTCAGTATTGGGGTCTGAATTTCTTCGGCATCACCAATGGAATGACCTGCTACTGTGATCGCGGGATTGCCATGGACGCCGAGAAGGTTGACGATGCGCTGTGCACACTGGACTGCGTTGGAGGCGGAGATGGAAAATGTGGCAGTCCGACGCTGATGAGCGTATACACCACCGAGGGGGAAATCATCGTCAAGGCCGAGAACGTGGGCTGCTACGTGGACGACGGAACCACGCGCCCACTGGGAGACACGAGCTTCACTGACGCCGCCATGACGATCAATAAGTGTGGGGCGATTTGCCATACCACGTATGACTTCTTCGGTCTGGAGAATGGCGACGAGTGCTGGTGCGGCAATGCGATTGCCAGTTCCGCGACTGCGGTCAGCTCGGCCGAGTGCGGCACCCCTTGCGCCGGACAGGAGGAGAAGGAGTGCGGCGGAGCTGGCCGGATCGACATATACACGACGATATCACCCGATGACGGTGACGGCGGTGGTACGGATCCGGGAGACGGCGACGGCGACGGCGACGGCGACGGCGACGGCAACGGTGACGGTGACGGTGACGGTGACGGTGACGGTGACGGTGACGGTGACGGTGACGGTGACGGTGACGGTGACGGTGACGGTGACGGTGACGGTGATGGCGACGGCGACGGCGACGATGACTACCACTACTACGGCTGCTACACCGAGGCAACCAACTCCCGCGCTCTAGCTCACTCCTCCACAGTATCTGGAGACAGCATGACAGCCGAATTCTGCGCTGCCTACTGCCTGACCACCCAGGGGCAGACCATGTTCGGCGTCGAGTACGGCGCCGAGTGCTGGTGCGGGTCCCGGCTGGAACTCGGCTCCGTCGCCGTCCCCGAATCCGACTGCGACGTGCCCTGCTCCGGCGATCCGACCAAGAACTGCGGCGCCGGCAACCGCCTCGGCATCTACGGCCTCGATCCTAGCCCGCCCCTTGCCTACAAGTACTACGGGTGTTACTCCCAGGGCAGTGCGGGCCACGCCGTCGACGTCGCAACCTCCGACGCCACAGACACCATGACCATAGGCGAATGCGCGGCCTTCTGTCTCCAGGCACAAGGCGGGGGCGAGAGCGTGGTAGCCTCCTACTTCTCCGTCGAGAACGGCCACGAATGCTACTGCGGCGCCGGCCTCGACGCCGGAGCCGTGCCTGCGCCCGCGAGTAGTAGCTGCGACTTGCCGTGCGTGGGGCTCGCGTCGGATATGTGTGGTGGCGCTGCCTTTGGTGGAGTCTTCGGTAACACAGTTAATCCTCCGCCGACGTCGGCCACGGGATATGAGTATCAGGGGTGCTTTACGGAGGCGACTGAGGATAGGGCGTTGCACTCTGGTAGGTTGCGCCGCCCCATTCTTACTTTGTTGGGAATCACTTGTGCCCATGCTAACACCCTCTGTGCAAAACAGCAACTACCGCCGATAATGCCATGACGGTCGACGTCTGTGCCCAGTTCTGCCTGGCTGCTGGGTACAGTATGTTCGGCATTGAGTACAGCCGCGAGTGCTTTTGTGGTGCGGAGCTGCAGCTCGGTTCGGTGTCGGCCCCCGAGGAAGACTGCAACATGCCCTGTGGTGGAGATGCGACGGTGAATTGTGGTGGACCGAGCCGTCTGAGTGTTTATCTTTGGCCATGAGAAGTATATGATTCATTGCTTGGTGGTGCTTGTGCCCCTTGTTGCATATTGGCCAACCTCTCCAGCCTCGCAATGGGCTGTAATCAATTAGTCAATCGATGCAATCAACTGAACGTTCGCAAAAATAAAGGAGACGGGTTGAAACGCTACGTTTAACGGCTAGTCAAAAAAGGACAGGAACGGTCCACTTTCCCCTACGGGCCTCTAAGTTCGTCGTTCTTGGCAGGTATCGCGACTTGGTTAGGTCTGACGAGTAGTTGATTTAGAGTCGGATCTGCAGACTAAGGCCAACGTCCAGGGCGCCTTCGCCATCGCTAGCTTCATGATCGCCTTTCTGCTGTTCTGTGGCGAGATTGCAAGGGCCGAGATCCACGTCTAGGCCCTTTTTATCGCCACGACGAATGCCTGCCAGTATTGAAAGATATACTGGCTAACAGAATGCGGTGGCAAGGGCTTTACCTGCACTAATTACGAGACAAGATCAAGTGCCATAGGTTCTTCGAAGCTGTTCTCTCGGACTGTGCTTCTGCAACAAATGGCATTTACATTTAAATGCCAATTTAATTTCCCATGACAAGTACTTCAAGATCCACCTTCCCTACGACCCTAGTATTGGTCCCAAGGCGCGCTGTTGGCCACCGGCTGGTCGTTTTCTTCGTCGAAGATATCAAATCCCAAGTGTCGGCTCGGGTCCAAGAATCGGATAGGGCCACGCTCAAACGACAGTCGATCTACCACCGCAAAACATTCTTCTGGTAGCCGCTTAAGCTGGAGATTTTGCTTCATATGGCCCTCCTGGACGGATTTGGGTACGGCCGGAATTCCTCTCTGCACGGCCCAGGAGAGGCAGACCTGGACATGTGATTACTTTGACAATGTTATACATATGCAGGGATGGCAACTTACCTGCGCCGGGGTCATGCCACACCTGGCTGCGATGTCCTTGATCTGTGGGCAATGTTAGCGTGTCCTTGCCTAGCCCTTTGCTACAATTACCTGGACTAAATACATGCCTTTGGATCATCGGTTGGGAACGGTTGTTCAGGGTGTCCTCGAACCAGCTGGACGGGCCGCCCACCTAACGGCTGATGGGCCATGAGGAGAATATTGTGCTCAGACGAGAATTCGAAAAGCTCTTGTTGTGGAAGATACCTATAGGAACATGCAGTTAGTAACCAGATGACAGGGGGCTTATCAGGTCGGGTCTCGTACGGGTGAATCTCCACCTGATTCACAGCTGGGATAATTCTGGCGACCTCGAGGATCCTCTTCGTCTTCAGGATGTTGAAGTTCGAAAGACCTGTCGTCCTGACGGTTGATATTGACCAGACGTCTCGAGATTCAGTGATATTACTTACCGATCGAACGAGCTTTGCCCAAGTCAACCAATCGCTCCATTGCTTTCCAAGTGTCCGGATATCTCCTGGAGAGGCCATAGTCTATCACAGGCTATTTTTGCGTGAGAAAGAAAACACGTGGGTAATACCTAGCGGTAGTGTCGTAGTGCCTTACCTTCCCATTGCCACTTGGGTGTCTAATAGTCTTGTTGTCCTCACCAGCCTTATAGGCGTGCGGAACTTGATCAAATTAGTACCTTTTTGAGGTTGACAGTAATCTTCACACGTTGCTACTTATTAGAAGGGGATGTTGCGCCTTACAGTGCATCAAATACAAGTCAACTGCAATGCCAATCGTTAGCTCGATAGTATTCTCGCCAGTAGCATAAGGTAGAGTCTCATTACCATAGTCTAATTGCATATCTCTCAGAGACAAATCCAGAGCCCTCTCAACTTCGGTAGGGTCGTGCCAAGTCTGAGCACTGGAAAATGTTATGCCATTCATAAGTTGACTAATTACTCGGCACTGGGAGCCGTCCACCACTTACAGCTTAGAGGTCACGTATATCTCATCCCTGGGAATGCCGCTCTCTTTGATGGCCGCGCCGATTTCCTTTTCGTTTCCGTAAGCGTTGGCGCCGTCGATGTGCCGATATCCCATCTTCAGAGCCAACTTCACGGCAGCCTTCACCATGGAGTTGCCATTGTCCCCCTGGAAGGTTCCGAGGCCAATGACGGGGACCCTCTCGCCGTTGTTCAGAGTGAAAAACTCGGGAAGATCCATAGTTGGGGAAGAGTAGTGCTGGGAGGTTTGAATTTTTCCTCTTTACAAATCCCTGAGCCTGAGCCGATACCGGGAAAAAAGTGGAGGGATTAAAGGGGGGGTCGGCATGGAGGCGGTCCTCTTTCTGGTTGCTGCAGATTGTATCACTCGTCCCTGAGTGGATGATGGGTCCAGGCCCACCCACAGTAGCACGCAGATGGGAGGGGCATGCAGAATCCAAGGCCCGAGTGGCACAAACCCCACCAAATATTGGCCAATCCTTGGTGATAACTTCGCAGTAAATTGGCTTCCGCATGACCTGTCACATTCCGGAGCGTAAGCGGCAGCGGCTACGGGTGGGTTAGATAGCGTGCCCATAGTGATCCGCAGTGCCAGCGCATCTGCGCATGGTACAAAACCGATCCTCTTGATGTATAAAGTGAGGAGACAGGGCCAGGAATTCTTGCATGGGATGTGGAAGATTACTTGTTTTTATAGAATTAACTACATTCTTGAAGCAAAGATTGGTAGCGCCATGAGTGACTCTCCTGAGCCTGGAGATCAGCAGTACGAGATTGATCCCAACATTCTCGCTGGTGAGTATTTCATTATCGGTCCCAATCTCATCTTTGTAGGCATCACTTGACAGCCTGTTTGAGTTTCCAGCTTTACCGGAGGTCGCCGAGGTTCTGGAGGCGACACACCATGGAGAATCTGCTTGGGCCAAGGCCATGCGCATCAAAGTGCGCCACACTGACGGCAGCGAAGAATGCTACTTTATGAAGGTCCATCTCGTTTCATAGTGATACGTTACTTTTTCTGGAGAAGGGTTTTGCTAAACGGGATTAGGTTTCCACAGGCTATCACGGGCGGGAGGCGCTGAAAGGCGAGTTTGCCTCGACATCAGCCATCTACTCCATCACGCCAGACTTCTGTCCCAAGCCACTCGCGTGGGGTACCTTCCAGGACGATCCGGAATCCCACTTCTACTTGTGCAAGTTCTATGACTTTACCGAGGGCTTGCCTGAGCCTATTTCATTCTGCAAGAAGCTGGCCCGACTTCATTCCAGCCACACATCGCCCGAGGGCAAGTTTGGTTTCCACTGCACTACATATAATGGGGACCTGCCGCAGGACAATACTTGGGTTGACACCTGGGAAGCCTTCTTTAGCAATGGGTTGCGGCATGTGTTGAGGGTTCGAGAGGAGAGAGCCGGACCCAGCCAAAAGCTTGATGCGCTTCTCCCTCCGCTTTTTGACAAGGTTATCCCAAGACTCTTGCGGCCGTTGGAGAGTGGGGGCCGGAAGATAGAGCCTTCTCTAGTGCATGGCGATCTGTGGTGTGGAAACGCAGGGATCATCGATGAGAGTTCCGAGGAGGGCATCGTTTACGACCCTGCCAGCTTCTGGGCACACAATGAATGTATGTATCCCCTACACCCTACATGTCTATCACAACAGCTTAGAGGCACCTTGGCTGGCTAACAAGTTCTTGAAAAGATGAGCTGGGTAACTGGCGCCCTGTGCGGAATAAGTTCACTCAGCGATATTTTGAGGCATATCACTCCCACATACCCAAAGCTGAGCCTGAGGAGGACTATGACGACCGTAACGCCTTATATTCCTTGTAAGTAATCCACTAGGAGCCTGGGGAACCCTTTGCTAAGCTTGCCTTTCTACAGGAGGTTCAATTTGCATGCCGCCGCCCTGTTCCCCGGCACCGAGTCGTTTTTAGACATGTGAGCAAATGAATGACTTGCAACCTCCGTCTCCGACCACTAATAGAGTGTTAGGGCCATAGAAGAGATTTGGAGGCTCACGGAACGATACCCCGAAGGATACACTGAAGAAGCTGATGTTGTGGTCCAAGAAAAGGGGGTAGAACTGGTAGGCCCCCGAATTGAGACGGGCCGGGCCGACCCTAGCTCATTTCTGAAGCGTGCGCTAGGCACCTACCCAGGTACCTAAGTAATCTAGCCGAATTAATGCAGGTTCCGGTGTGTACCTGCTCAGCACCTAGACTATCTCCCAATTTGGTTGCTTGCATTGAACCCACCAAAGAGCTAGTGTATGCAAAGCTGGATTAGGTCAGATTAGCTCCTTATGGGGCCAATCCGCGTGGTGTGGCTGCTCGTGGCTGTTGGCGATCACACTATACCTACGTAGATAATAGCTGCTTTTGCAGGGGGCCAATGGCAATTCGCCTTAAGCGCCTGGGCCTTCCCCTGCTGCCTTCAAACGGCTCCCCGTCATTTCAACCATCCAAGCCGAAGCTGACTCCAAAAAACAAAACAAAACCCCGAAGATTACCAATCTGACATTGCTAACTCCCGATGACATGGACCAGGTGAGTTGTATGCGACACAAGGTCGGGTAGTCAAGGTCTCAATTTGCTTACACCCGCTTAAAATAGTCGCGCATGAAGCCCTTTGGTGGGTTATTATTCCGCTCCGGGACGGACAAGCAATCGTCGACCAGCGTACCCAGGACTGGGACCGACCTCTCGACTCTCGACATATCGGAAGACAAGAAAGGTGCGTTGGGCTTGACAACAATCTATAATCCACCACCGCCTTTTGGCGCCGTAGCGGATGTCGTCTTGATCCACGGCCTGGGTGGAGGCAGTCGCAAAACATGGTCCCACTCACCCGACCCCGAACATTTCTGGCCCCAGGCATGGCTACCAGCCGACCCAGACTTTGTGGACGTGCGCATCCACTCTTTCGGCTACAGGGCCGACTGGGGCGAGAGGCGGCAGAGCACCCTGAATATCCACGACTTTGCGCAGTCGCTGATCGGCGAGCTGAAGAATAACCCGAGCATACGCCGGGATCACACGCGCATCATTCTCGTTGGCCACAGCATGGGTGGGTGCGTCGCCAAGAAGGCATACAGCCTCGCGCGCCAGGACCAAACCTGTAAGGACCTGGCCGAGCGAGTGCACTCAATATTCTTCCTGGGCACTCCGCACCGCGGGTCCGACATGGCGGTCATCCTGGAGAGCATGCTGATGGCTGCCTGGGGCAAGAAGCCCTTCGTGGCGGACTTGACGCCGAACTCGACCACACTGGCCATGATCAACGACGCCTTCCGCCACTTCGCGCCGGACCTGCACTTATGGTCCTTCTACGAAACGCTACCGGTCAAAGTCGGTATGATGAACAGGATCGTGGTTGACAGGCACTCGGCCACTCTGGGCTACCACAACGAGGAGATTGCCGCCATGAACGCCGATCACCGACATGTTTGCAAGTTTGACAGTCAAGCGGACCCAAACTATAGGATGTTGCGAAATGCCCTTCACACTGCGGTCGACATGACCAGAGCCGCGGCAGTGGAGTTGGTCCAACCGCACGCCAGCATCGACCCGATGACTTCGGACTCTGCACTTATCGAGGCCAACTCGCGCCTGAGATGCTTCCTGGGCGTCGGCAATACGTTGGAGAACGACCTGGCGACGCTTCAGGGGCTTAAGGAGCCAGGATCTTGCCAGTGGCTTACAGAAAAGACGTGCTTCACATCGTGGAAGGCAGGGAAGGCGCCCGGGATTCTTTGGCTCACAGGTCGACCAGCGGCCGGCAAATCTGTTCTGTCCAGCCACGTTATCGACCACCTAAGAACACCCCATGCTTACTGCAGCTACTTTCTCTATGGGCAGTCAGTGACGGGCAAGTCTACGCTAAGCGACTGTTTTAGGTCTCTTGCTTTTCAGATGGCCATGCGAGACAGCCTGGTGAGAGATAAAGTTCTGCAACTCGAGGACGAGGGGATTGTTCTGGACAACAACGACGATGCGAATGTCTGGAGAAAGCTGTTTGTCGGCAGCATATTTAAACTGCCGTCTATCTCCCAACATTTCTGGGTAATCGACGGCGTTGACGAATGCGCCAACTTCAATGCGCTATTCACCAAAAGATTACTAGCGACTCTCCCGGAAGAGCTTCGACTGTTTGCTACGAGCCGGAACCTAGAGGCGATCGAGCGTGGGCTGGTCTCTCTTGGCCCACGGGCGAGTTGTCAGACCTTGTCGGACTCGGACACACTCGACGATATGCGACTCTTTCTGAACACAAAACTCAGGGAACTGGACCGCCTTGAGAGTGACGAAGACTGCGAGGCAATGTGCGAAAAGATACTCCAGAAGTCATGTGGTTCTTTTCTATGGGCCCGGCTCGTCCTGCAAGAGTTTGAGAATGCTTGGACCGAAGAAGCCATGGACGCGGTGTTGAACGAGGTCCCTGCCGGCCTTCAAGATCTCTACTTCAGGATGGTGCAGTCGATAGAGGTGGACAACCGCAAGACAATCCTGGCCAAGGCCATCCTGGCTTGGGTCGTCCTCGCACCCCGCCCGTTGACTCTCGATGAGCTGCGCTGCGCCGTCAAGCTCGACCTGAACCAGACACTGCAGAACATGGACAAGGCGATTCCCAACTTGTGTGGGCAGCTGGTTTTTATTGACCAGAGCAACAAGGTGCACATGATACACGAAACGGCGCGAGAGTTCCTGGTCTCGGAGGATCTGGTCTCGGAGCTGGCTGTTCATAAGAAAGAGGACCACGCGCATCTGGCGTCGCTGCTGCTCAGGTATCTCTCCGGCGACGTTCTAAAGCAACAGCAAGGGAAGCGCCAACACAGCGCGAGGCACAGGGGGTTTGCTAAACCTACCACTGTGGCTGCACTTGATGATTCTCTGCTTAGCTACGCGTCTAGCTTCTTCTCTGAGCATGTATATCGCTCCTCATCAGAAGACGATCACTTGATGGACGAGCTGTGCGATTTTCTCAAGAGTAACAACATCCTCTCGTGGATAGAGCACATCGCCAAGACCAACGATCTGAACGACATTACCCGAACTGCAATGGATTTGCGAAGGTTTCTGAGTCGCCGAGTGAAATATGTCCCGCCGACGGATCCGTCAGTCCACCTTGTTGACGGCTGGGTAACCGACCTCATCCGGGTAGCCGCCAAGTTCCGCTCCCAGTTGCTGGCTTGCCCATCTTCAATCCACACCTTGATCCCTCCCCTCTGCCCATCGGACTCGATGATCTCGAGAAGCTTTACAAGGGATGCGCGGCTGTCAGGGCTCATTGTGAAGGGGCTTCCTGTCGGGACTTGGGATGACTGCTTGATCCGTATGGATTTCCGAAAGGGCCAGACCACGGCAGTCAGCCACGGGGAACGCTTCTTTGCCGTCGGGCTTTCCACGGGCCAGGTCGCGCTCTACGATTCCGGTTCAGTCCAAAATATACTGAACGTGACTCACCCTGGGAGGGTCAAGATTCTGGAATTCAGCCGCGATGACCAGTACCTTGCCTCCTGTGGCACTAAACATATTATTGTGTGGGAACCGAGATCCGGGGTCAAGATGCATTCGTTTGACCTCCAGTCGCCGCCCCTGGGTGTCGCTTTTTTCGGGGCTAATGAACTTCTCTGCGCATTCCAATCTAGCAAGATCACGAAATGGTATGTCAAGAGCCACTCCCGGGCTTCTTTTTCACCTCCCATGAGGCTAGTTGGCTAACGACGTGCTTCCTCTTTCGGTGGCACAGGAGTCTCAATACAGGCCAACATGACTCGAGGTCCTGGAAAAGCGGCGACTACTCCTATTCACACGTCGCCGTACCGGATCAGCCGCCCGTCAGCGCGGCCTTCATGGCAGGGACTGATGACGTCTTGCTCGCTGTGGGCTACCGCAACCACCCAGTGATTATCTGGAACGTCCTTGAACTAGAGCCATTGGGACAGTGCGCCGCCGTCGATAACAACGGCATCGACGACATGACCTTCAACCCGAACCCCGAGATCGTCGCACTGGTCGTATCATACAACGACGGTAGACTGTGCGTATTCGACTACATGACCATGGAACCGGCGTTTGCGCTATCCAGCATATTCGCGCAGAGAATGGCCTGCTCGCCCGATGGCCGGAGCCTGGTTACCGGTAGCAGCCGCGGCGTCATTGAAGTTTTCGAGTTCGATCAGGGTTACGACGGCAGGACCATCCTGACGCCCATCTACCGCATCAATGCCTTAGAAGACTCGATCCGCGGCGTCACCTTTAGCTCTGATGGGCTGCGCTTCGCCGACGTACGGGGCCAACAATGCCGGGTGTGGGCTCCGGCGGCGCTCGTCAGGAAGAACAACGAGCTGGAGAGCACGAGCGACGCTGTGACGCTCACGGCTATGGCGGCTGGGGTGCTCGGCGGGCCGGATAACCCGGAGATTACCAGCGCCCTGGTGGCGTCTGTGGACGGCCGGTGCGTGGTGGCAGGGAAGCGCGGTGGGAACGTGGCCCTCTTTTCCACCGTCGATGGGAGGGAAGTCGGCGTCCTCTACCAGCATGCGCGGGCAGTGTCGGTCGTGGTAGTAGCGCTCGGCGAGCCGGCTAACTTGGTTGTCTCGGCCGATGACTCTGGCCGGGTGCTGGCGGCCGAGCTCGCAATGCCGTTGCCGAATGCCGCCGCGACTGCGCAGTTGCCGGGGCAGAAGCTGTCGCCCTCACGCATGGTCCTCGACCGCCGGTTCGGTGGAGTCGTCGTCCGCCTGCTCATCAACGCGGCCGCCGACCGCCTTCTCGTCAGTGGTCGCAATATTGACGAACTGTGGGAACTGCCGTCGGGAAAGGTGCTTGCCAGCACGGAACCTCCTGTGCCTGCAGCACCTTCGACAGCTGTCTCTGCTTTGGATTCGACATCGACCAGCGGGGCGGCAGCAACCGCCGTATCTTCGCGCTCCGCCTTCCAACACCCCGCCAACTCGGCTTGGTTTGTTGTCGTGGCAGGCGACGTCGTGCGTATTTATAACTGGGCCGACTTCAGCGAGCTGACTCCTGCAGACGGCATTAGGCTCGAGCGGCCCACGGTAATACCTACGGAGCATCTTAGGTCTACGGCAGATTCTCCGAAAGTGGCATCCGCGCTGCCGCCGCTTCTGAACATGTCACAGAGTTCTGCTGCCATGGCTGCCATGGCAACATACCACGTGGCGCCCGGGTTCGTTGTCGAGCATCTCCAGGCTTGCCCATCTGCACACCCTCGCCTGCACGTGTGGCCGGCCGCCTCGCTCGACCCGGGCGCACCGGTGGGCCCTGCACTGCCGGCCGCGGAACCAAACCTCGACGCCATTGCCCCCGCCGTGCTTGCCGTGCTGGGTGTTGTGGGGACGTCGACGCTGGTATTCCTGGACGTCAATCTGTGGGTGTGCAGCACCGAGCTGCAGTCCACGGGTGCCAGGAGTGGCAGCGGCAGCGGCTTGCCGCCGACGCCCACCATCCACGCCCGGCGCCACTTCTTCGCGCTGAGCGAGTGGCGTGCCGTTGGCGGGGAGCTGAGGTGCACCCTGGCCGCGGTCCCATCGGCGCCCTTGCGCGGCAGGAGCCGGGACGTTGCGTTCGCCGACGGGCACCGTGTTGTGGTTGTCAAGGGCGGGCTCGAGTTTTCGGAGACCGTGGTTGCCGCGAGAATGGCGCCGGGTAGTGGACATTCGCACAGAGGAGGAGGAAGCAGCGGAGGGGTAGGAGGTAATAACGGGCAACATGTTTGGGAGCCTGTTTCGGGGAGTATGCATCGCAGGGCGTCAAATTGGTAGGAAGAGTGGCCTGTGGAAAACAGAAAGGTTGAGAGGCCTCCTCTGATAGATGATATGTATTAATCACGGGCGAAATCACTGAGACCGACTGGTCATTCTCTCAGGAATTTGACCATATCGCCCTCGGAAACTCAACACCCTAAATTCCCCCAGAGGCCTACCACATCAAGTCGACTCTCCACGAATCAACATAACCACTTTAAAGAAGGTAAGGAATCCCCGCGGGGGAACTGCCAAGTAATTACCCCAGATTCCGTGCCCCTGTAGCTCTTCCTCGGTTATGCAGGAAGAGCTGGGCCGGGTCATCACGTGGGTATCCACGTATACTTCTGCCCACCCATAAATTGTTGATAACCTACCCCTACCCCAACATCCATAATGGCACTTGTCAAACCTTTGAAGGTCGTTGTCGTTAGGGTTGGCTTTGGTAGCCGGGGTGCGTGCTGCTATCGAGTGCGCCCAGCGTGGCATGGATGTGACTGTGATCGAGAAATACCCCGTCTCGAACAGTCAAGGAGGAGAGGGGAGACCATGCTTACATGTTGAAGCTCACACTTACTTCCCTCTACTAAATTAGTTGCACTAACTGGTAATTAATTCGATTGCAACATTGGCCATTCTCAACTTCTTTGCTAACGCTGGCTGCATCATCAATAGATTGGAACGATAGCAAAGTCGGCCAGGAGATCCATATATTTCGGGTTGCAACCACATCATGGACATGGAACTGTGCAAATTCGACAGCAAGGGGCATTGTTTAGGGGGATTTGACATGTCTTGCTACACAACATGAATAGAATGGAGGGTGGCCCTCACCTCACCTCCTAGCTACTGGATCACCACTCCGAACCCCGGACCTTCTAACTTAAGTTGGCAAGGTCCGAATGACGAGTTGCGTCGAGCGTAAGGAACAAGGAATGGTACGGTCCACTTTCCCCAGTATTTCTACACTAATCCATCGTAGACTTGCTCCGGTCTGGCCATCACTAATCAGATTCCCGAACTAGCCCGACTTTTGCCCCGCGCCCAGACTTTGGTGGTGCGAATCCCGACCCTAGCCGACACGACTTGCCGTGTTGACGTAAAAAGGCCTCCGGCCCCCCTCTTTTGATTGGCACTCCGATTCGGATGATCCAGCGAGAAAACTGGAGGCGATGACTCGATGCTTATACCCCTTCCACCCCTTCCACCTTCTTCGATCCTTCTTCAGTTCAACCTCAATCTCCATTTATCACTGCAAACAAGAAACTACAAACATCTTATCCGCGAACTTTCCATACGACGAAAAAAAAAAAACATGACGGTCCATGCCAACTCCCCCGCGGCGCAGGACAACAAGCTCTGGGTCAAGACGCCCCTCATTGAATCCCATGGCCTTTCGGAAGAAGCAGGATGGTACGTTTCTCCCAAATATTCCCCATCTATTCTCGTGAAACCCAGCTTCTAAATCGTAGAAGCAGAGTCTTCCTCAAGCTTGATAATTTGCAGCCGTCAGGCTCCTTCAAGAGCAGGGGCATCGGCAATTACATGAAGTGCAGAGTTCTCGACCAGCCACCCGGAGTTAGCGGTATTCATTTCTACGCCGTCTCCGGTGGGAATGCCGGCATTGCCTGCGTCCACGCGGCCCGCGTGTTGGGATATCCCGCGACCGTCGTGGTGCCAACCACGGCGAAGCCGGCCATTGTGTCCAAGTTGCTGAACCTCGGCGCGACCGAGGTCCTGCAGCAGGGCAGCACCATCTTGGAGGCGGACGAGTATTTGAGGAAGGAGATCCTGTCCAAGGGCGACCCGCGCATGATCTACGTGCCCCCGTTTGACCATCCTGACGTGTGGGATGGCAACGCGACCGTCATGAAAGAGATATCCTCCCAGCTTCCTGACGGAGGGAAGCCAGACGTCGTGATATGCAGCGTCGGCGGCGGTGGCCTGCTCAACGGCGTCATGAGATTCCTTGACGGGCGTGGCTGGTCCGATGTCGATGTCGTCGCCATGGAGACGGAGGGCGCCGACTCCCTGAGGGCTTCCCTCGTGGCTGGCAAGCTGGTGACGCTCAAGCGTATCACCTCCCAGGCCAAGAGCCTCGGTGTCGCTAGAGTCTCCGCTACCACGTTGGAGTACGCGCAGCGGCCTCAGGTCAGGAGCGTCGTGTTGCCCGACAGTGAGGCTGCACGGGGCTCTCTGCTCTTTGCCCAGAAAGAGCGGATGATGGTTGAGCTGACCGTGGGTGTGAGCGTTGCTGTTTGCTGCGACGGAAGACTCAGCCAGATCCTCGGCCGACAAGTCGCCCCGTCGGAGAAGGTAGTCATCATCGTTTGTGGTGGCAATGATATTTCAGTCGAGACACTGGCCTTGTGGACAGAGCAGTATGGTCGATGAGCCACCTTTCTCCCCATCTGTTTCTTCTTCCTGTCTCGAGCCTCTCAGCTGGGATTTCATTTTCATAGTAATTAGGGGTTATCGGTTCAGGTGGTGAATCCATTAATTAATTACATGCATCCGTACATGCATCCGTTGTGATGGTCAGGGGCCCCAACGATCTACCGATTCCCATCGTCCCCCACCTGGCCCCGTCAAACCCGTGTCTAGAATTCGACAAGCTTCATCCCCGGCGCAGGATATCTGGTGCCATAGACGGGGAAGCTTTCCAAAATGGCCGCAATAGCTCCCAACTCCTCTTCAGACAAATTGACCGTCTCCGCATTCTCCTTCACCCTCTCCCCAGACCTCGCCCCCGCCACAGGGATAATCAGAAGGATACCGGGCTTCTTGCTCTTCAGCTTCACCCACGACAAAGCCAGCTGGGAAGGGGAAACCCCCTTGGCCTTAGCCAGCTTCTCCAGCTCCGCAACCAAGTCCAAAATCTTCTGAAAGTTCTCCGGCTGGAACCGCGGGAACACACGTAGATGGTGTCCCGGCGGCAAATCATCCAGCGTCTTGATCTTCCCCGTCAACATCCTAACCCCAAGCGGCGTATGCGCCACGACGGGAATCCCCAGCTCAGCACACGTCTCCGCCACGCCATTGCCAAAAATCTCGGTCGCCCACAAGCTCTCCTCCTCCCCCACCATATCAATCTTCGCCACAGCCGCAGCCCGCCGAATCGTCGCGGCCCCAACCTCGCTAAGCTGGATCCCTCCAATCTCCCCGGCCGCCACCAATTCCCCCAGCGCGCGCACCGTCTCCTCGCCCGGGACCTTGGGATCCACGCCAGCAACCCCAAAAACATATATCTTCTTCCTTCCAGCCAGAACCCTGTTCGCGTCCGCGACAAGGCGACGCACGGTCTCCGGCGAGCCGTCGATGAGAAGGGTCTTCATGTCGACGACGCCGCTCTTGATGCACACGACGACCTTGTCGGCGTCTTCCGGCTAGGCGGTGAAGTAGCGGGCCAGAAGGTGCAGCGAGTTGTTGGTTGGTGTGCCGTAGAAGTCGGCGCCGTTCCAAACGTTGACGCCTGCTGCTAGGGCGGCTTTGAGGACGGGGAAGGCGGTTTCGTCGGGCAGGACTGCGCTGGGGAAGGTCATGCCTGTTGGGGGTTCGATTATTATTCGTGGAGGGACAGGAAATGGGAGGGGCATACGTACGCATGAGGCCGAGAGCCGTTCTGGCCGACTGGTTTGCCTGCGAGGGTAATAGGCGTCTTGTGGGTGATTGGTGTGATGCAGGCTTCTTGGATGGATATTCGTTGATGATACCGAGGGCTTGCTGTTAACAAAGCGCCTTTGGGGAATGTTATTCGTGTTGATACTTAGCTTGAGATGACGAAAGATTATTGGGATGGGCGCGTTTTGCACAAATGGCAGGGAGTCGTGTCGAACCTACGGACTTAGACGGAGCAGTGATGTGGTTATGTCCGTCCCAGATGGGTCTAGAGTTTGCAGGCGCGTTTGTGCGGCAGGCTGGTCAGGGGTATTGACGAACCCGGATGCAACGACCAACTGTGGATACTGCCCCTATGCGAGTGGCACTGAGTATTTGGCTGGGATGAATATTAAGCTGGGTCAGAGACAGCGTGATTTTGGCATCTTTCGATTTTTATTTTTTATTTTATTTTTTGAATTGGGCGTAAGTTTGTCCCCTCCTCTCTACTCCCACAACGAACAATTGAGACTAATAACTTTGGTGAAATAGGCTTGTTTATTTCTTTATATACACTATTCGCATCAAGGGCTGGACCTTTGGGTTTGGGCCGATCTTCAGGTCGTTGAGAAAGGCATCAACGCATTTAAGGATATGTTTATTCTGGGAAAGGGCAAAGACAGCGAAGATGCTGTTAGCAATTAGGAAGTTCATTGGTTAGATACACTACACACGCTATTCATATTATAGAGCAGAGAGATAACTGGAATCAAGATAGAATGAAGGTTGGACTAGGTTCTGGAGGTGATGACCGATCCCGGAGGGATCTAGGGAGGGAACCCCGTCTGGCAGAAAAGTCGGGAAGCCTGCAGTACCTAGCCTATTGAAGAGGGATACGAAGTTGACCATTTTAACCAGGAAGCATCCTTGTGACTGCCCATGTGCTCATGATTATTGTATGCCACCATGACCCAATCAGAATAAGGCCATATGTAATTAATACATGCCGACCTCGCGCACAGACAAGGAATGGGCCGATCTTTTAAGAAGGAGCAGCTGGAAGATGTTATCTTCCTCTCCGTGTTCGGAGCTCGACCTTTCACTCAGAACATCAACGGTGGGGAGGAGCAGTGTCACAGGAGATCGGCTGATGCTCTATACCCAGCGCAATATCAATCTGGGTGGTTAACTGCATGTGTCAAACGAAGCACAAGCCAATGGGACTGCAGCAGTTCATGTTTAGGCCTTTCCCAGATGCGAGGCACCGATTGCGGAGGCAAGCATCATTCCGATCAACTCCCGAGTGTAATTCGAGATATAATAATAACCTGCAACTTACACGGCCTTTCATTGTTAGGGCTACACAAGATATTTGCAAAGAAAGACACAATATGGCCCAAAACAGCCCGGCAAATAACCTTTCTTCAATCCCCGAGACCATCGACGCATTCGGTGCGTTCAAATCCAATCCCTCCTTCTTCATTAACATCCTCCACTCACTCGCTAACCCATATTCCCACAGCACGCGGCGAATTCATCATCGTCCTCGACAACCCTACCCGCGAAAACGAAGGCGACCTCATAATCGCAGCCGAGGACCTCACCCCCAGCAAGATGGCCTTCATGATCCGCCACACCTCCGGCTACATCTGCGCGCCCATCCCCGAGTCCCGTGCCGACGCACTCGGCCTGCCCCAGATGGTCACCGTGAACGCTGACCCAACCCGCTGTGCATACAGCATCACCATCGACGGCAACGATCCAGCCATCGGCACGGGGATCTCCGCGGCCGATCGGGCCCGCACTTGCCAGATGCTGGCCGACCCTGCGACCACGGCGGCGAGCTTTAGGCGCCCGGGTCATATTCTCCCGTTGCGGGCTCGGGATCTTGGTGTCCGGGTTAGGTATGGGCATACGGAGGCTGCTATCGAGTTCTGCCGGTTGGCGGGCAAGAGGTTGGCGGCTGTGCTCTGCGAGATGGTGTTGGATGGTGAGGAAGATCAGATGGGCAAAACTGAGCGAGTCGGTGCTGGTATGATGCGTCGGGATGATTGCCTTGCTTTCGGGAAGAAATGGGGCGTTAAGGTTTGCGCTATTTCGGACTTGGTTGCGTATGTCGAGAAGAATGAAGGTCGGCTGTCTGTTCCAGGTGCAGAGTATTGAATTTTCGATGCCTACAATAAATACTAATTAATTATACTCCAACCATTTGACTTGACGATTGTACTCCATTGTTGAGAAGCCCGGCGGCGGCGGGATATATGGTGGCGTCCATGGTGCCGGCGCCCACAAGACCTGAGAAACCCGCCGACCACGCAACCAGAAGGCACAGACTAACCTGAAAGATATAATTAAGCTGTCGCTTCAGGGCCTCACTAGGCCTTCACTGTGCATATATATTACAAGCGCTGTACTTCGCCGTATTACTACGGTACTACATGTGGGAACTAGGCTGCTAATTACCAATTGCTTAGCAAGATTCCTAAGCCTTATCTGGAAGAACGATGCATCGAGAAAGGGGCCAATGCATGCTTGTATATCTTACCCCGTCGTGATGTATTAATTACACCGAACTAAGGTACAGTACCAAGGACATATTTTTCCCACCTTGCGGTTTTCCTCTTCCTCAACCTCACTCCTCTTCCAGATTCACGCTCTGGTCCTTGAATCTCCAAGCCTTTGTGCGCTGACGGAACAACACATTGAGTTCAGCAAACGTGCGCCCCTTTGTCTCGGGAATATTGAACGCCGTGAACACCAGCGAAAGAGTGCAGGTACCAGCGAAGAAAAAGCCCGCCTTCGCCCCCCATGCCCAGGCCCCGGGATTCAGCATGTATGGCGTAATGACATTGCTGACGATGTTCAGAAGGTTGTATGTCATGCGCGCGAGCACAATGGTCTTGCTACGCAGCTCGGACGAAGGCACTTCCGAGACTATGGCGTAGCATATCGGCCCCACGGTTATGTCGTAAATGAGCGTGTATACAATCAGCATGCTGCCAATGGCCCAGGCAATTGACGGTGCCGGGTTGGAGATGGTGCCGAGGCCCCCGATGATGATCAGAGTTACTTCCAGGCCGGCCAGACCCCAGAGATAAAGTGGTCGCCGCCCGCAATGAGGAAGGAGGAACCAGGCGATCAACACGCCGACGATGCCGAGCGCGTACTGGATCAAACTCATGTTGAATGCCTGCGTCGACGGAAGGCCGGCCTGCTGGTAGAAATACGTCGAATAAACGCGAAGACCGGTGCCGGACATGATCTGGATACCCCAGCAACCACACGCGATGATGGTCCGGCGGAGGTCGACACCGCGGAAGCAGTCTTGATAGTGTCTTCCAGTCCCGGTCTCCCTCTCCCTGTTGACAGTGACTTGCATCAATGTAAGCATCTTGTCGATGTCGGCCCCCGATTCACTACTGGATCGGGTAAGGCGACGCAGGTTGCGTCTCGCATCCTCAATGCGGTTCTTCCGGACACACCACCAGGGGGATTCCGGGGCGAATGTAATGCCGACGATCAAAGGGACGGGCCACATCCACTGCAGTGCGAATGGGATTCTGTAGGCCCACTGGTCGGTTCGCTCTGCCATGGCTCGCAAGACGCCGGCGGAAAGAAATTGCCCGAAGACCTAGAAATGAAGAGTGAGCCCAACTGTATGTATGCGCGAGATATTAATTGATAGATTATGCCACTTACCCAGCACAGATTTACGTATGTTGTTAGGTAGCCGCGAAGATTGACAGGACACACTTCGGCAGCGTAGGCCGTAGTCAGTGTCTGGAAGACGCCCCAAGGGATGCCTTGGAGAATCTGCCCGGCCAGGAGCACTTCGATGCTTGGCGCAAAGACCGGAATAAAGATGGCCGCCGTCATCCACACGAGCGATGCGAGCATTGTTTTCTTGAATCCTATGCGCTCCGAGATGTGTCCGTTCAGGTAGAGGCCGATTAGAGAGCCAATTGTAGCGCCGTTCGAGAGTCCAGCTTGCCACGGTGCGGGAATCTGGTATTTCCCGCTGGGCAGAAGCGTGCCGTACCGTTTCGTGAAAGCTGGCTGGGCGTTCAAGGACCCGATCAGCTTCGTATCGTATCCTTCCATGACGATAGCCGTCGAGAGAAGGACCGACCAGGCGATAGCGGCAGGATACAACTTCAGAGACTGAAGAAACGTGATCTCGCGCTCCTGCTCTGCTGCTTCTTGAGCATCGTGTAAGCCATCTCGGTCTTGGGGCCCCGTTTTTTCGCAGTGGTTGATGACGTCCTTGGACTTGAACTCGTCGGTGGCCATGTTGACGATGTCGCGAGCTGCACGCAAGGTTGTTCAGACAGGTTGGCGGGTTCAGTGTGTGCTTGTCTTGTCTTTGAAACCAAGCGGAAAAGGCATCTTAATTATAGCCAAATGGTTAATCTGGGGAGAAGGCCGCCCAGCCTGTGAATCTGGGGTAAGTATCACGACAGCGAGCTACGAGACATGGTGCACAGTCAATAGTGCACAATCAATCGGCGAGCCAAGCGAGCATGAGTGCCTAGGTATTATGTGCCACATGTTGTTCAGCACATGACCCACAAATCAGGATACGGATTCGGGACTAGTTCAGGGCTCTGGCCCCGCCTCCGCTTGTCCGCTCGCCGACGGTCGAGCCGATTTAAGCGAGCAGAACCGAGCCGACGTGGAAAAGTGGGGCATGCCGTCGTAGTCGGTCGTTGTCGGTGGCCAATAGGATGAAGCAGCATCTTAAATAATAGACGGTGTTGAGGGCCGTAAGCTGCTGCCGTAAGTGCAGTTGACGAACCTCCCATCCCATCCCGTGAGAGTGCCAGATCGGTTCATCCTCGAGATCACAAACTCGGAAACATGACGTACTCCAAAGTCCATCAACAACCACGCGCTTGGTGGAAGGAAGGCGTTGTGTATCAGATTTATCCGGCATCCTTCAAAGATTCCAACAATGACGGCACAGGCGACATCCCTGGAATCATCTCAAAGCTCGACTACATTCGAGATCTTGGGATTGACATCATCTGGATCTCCCCCCATTACAAGAGCCCTCAGGTCGACATGGGCTACGATATCTCCGACTTTGAGGACATTCACGAGCCGTACGGGTCCCTTGAAGATTGCGAGAGATTGATAGAGGAAATCCATGCGCGAGGAATGAAGGTCATCTTCGATCTTGTCATCAATCACACCTCAGACCAGCACCCCTGGTTTCTCGAATCGAAATCTTCCAAGACGAATCCAAAGCGGGACTGGTACTTCTGGAGGCCACCCAAGTTCGATCAACAGGGGAACAGACGCCGCCCGAACAACTGGCGAAGCCAATTCACAAAGCCTGCATGGACTTGGGACGAAACAACGCAGGAGTACTATCTCCATGTGTACGCCGACGGCCAGCCCGACCTGAATTGGGAAAATGAAGATTGCCGCCGTGCAGTCTACGGCAGCGCCATCAGATTCTGGCTGGAACGCGGCGTGGATGGCTTCCGGGTTGATACTGCCAACAAATACTCCAAGGTGCGAGGGCTTCCAGACGCGCCGATCGCCGAGCCCGACGAGGAGACACAGCTAGCAATGTGCCACTACGCCAACGGGCCGCGAATCCACGAATATCTCAAAGAGATGAAGGGAGTCATGTCTCCTTTCGACGTCATGACGGTTGGGGAGCTCCCTAACACGCCGGATCGTGCCGACGTCTTGAAATACATCTCAGCCAGCTCTGGGGAGTTGGACATGGTGTTCAACTTCGACACGGTCGGCCTCGGCCAGACTCCGGGAAATCGATTTTTGCCAATCCCCTTCGACAATGTCGACTTCAAGTACAACCTCACAAAGTGGCAGGCATTGCCCGAGACGACCGATGCTTGGACAACCGTGTTTCTCGAGAACCACGATCAGGGTCGGTCGGTGTCGCGATTCGCTTCGGACCTTCCGCAATTTCGCGAAGCCTCGGCCAAGATGCTCGCGACCGTCCTCACCAGCATGACGGGCACTTTGTTTTTGTACCAGGGCCAGGAAATCGGCATGATCAACGCACCGGCGTCCTGGTCGGAGCTCAACTACAAGTGCGTGCGGTCGGTCAACTACTTCAACGATGTTTGCGAGCGGGCCGGCAACGATCCCGCTGCGTTGGAGGAGGCCAGGAGGAACCTTCAGCGAGTTGCGAGGGACCACGCAAGAGTCCCCATGCAGTGGGATGACTCTGCCAATGCCGGATTTTGCGCCGACGGTGTGCAGCCCTGGATGCCTGTTCTCGAAAGTCACGTCGACATCAACGTCTCGAAGCAACTCGGCCGGCAGGACAGCGTCTTGGAATATTGGCGAAGTCTGTTGAAGCTCCGGAAGAGGCTTTCCGCCTTGTTTGTGTACGGGAAGTTTACTCTGATCGAACAGCAAAAGGACTTGATGATGTTTCTCAAGGTGGATTCGGGAACCGGATTACGAGCATTGACCGTTGCCAATCTGTCGAAAGCGAGGATGAGTTTCGACGAGGAACCGCACTTCCCGTTGGATGGGGCAGAATTGTTGATCCATAATCGTTCCTCAAAATTGGTGGATTTGGACCGGCGGATGAGTCTCGAGCCCTTTGAGGCGAGAGTGTACCTCAGGCGAGATTAACTCTAGCTTCGGACCGGGGGCATCTGCTACTTCCCTTTCCTTTCCTTTTCTTAGCTTATTGGTTCACAATAGATTAGAGTTCAATTGATGCAAAGATCATACATTTACATAAATGGGGGGACAATCCCAAATCTCTCAACACAGAAATATCTCGAGTCGACCCTTTCTCCCTTTCTAAACTGTTCTTCGGTCAACTCACGTATGAAAGCTTTGATGGTGGTTGTGTTCCATAGCGGATTAGATACCAATTCCAGTTTATCCAACGCCCAACGGACCTCATCCTGGGTGCTGCTTTCGACAGAGTAAAGGAAAAGCGGCCAGATGAAGGCCGGGTGGAGGCTGGTCCCCTCTGGACATGCCTCCCGTGCATCAATCAGTTTTCGAATCTCCCCTTTCGCAGCCACCGTGGTTGGTGATTGTGAATGAGACCTTCCGTGACCACGCGCATGGTAAATGATTTCCGCGTTGTAGGATATTTTGCAAAGTCTTGCCACAAAAGCCAGGTGGGACAGGTCATTTGCAGAATTTTCGGCGGCGGCGTGACTGATATCCGGAGTTGCAACCTCGAGCAAACACGGACGGCCCTCCCAGAGGTACTTTAAGCGTTGGTCAATATCCTTCGATATGTCGTCGACCTTCATCTCGTCGGCAGGAGTGCCCCTGGGCCGGTGGTGACGATTCAGAGCTGACACTCTGGTGCTGATGTGCTGCAACTCGCAGTAAAACTGAAACAGGGATTGCTGGAGCGAGTCAACGGCGGCGAGCGCGGCTGTAGGCTGATCCAGGCACATGGATGCCAAGGATGGAGGGGGTTGCTGCTCTGCTTGGAGCAGTAGTTCCGAGAGCTTGGGGCTGAGCATTCCTCGTCCACCAAGATGCATGGCCTTTGTGTGGAACAGGCGTAGCCAGGAGACGATACGACGAACAATGGGGGACCACGGCTGGCTTTTAGACCGCTGCTCGAGCCTCGTCACCAATATATCCTTCTGCTTCAGCGTGCCCGAGACAGTCTCCTGTTGAGCCACAACTTCGAAACAGCACAGCAAAAATGTGGCGACTAGTATGAGCTCCGTGTCTGCGCCTTCGTCTTTCAAGAGCGAAAGATAAGCGCCCTTAGCCGCGAAATATTCGGGTAGGGCATCAGCGCTGTCCCCATCGTCCACCAAGGTCTTGTACAGCGTCTCGACGGCTACTACTGCCGCCAAGACCGCCGGGTTGAGGGCTCCTAGTCGGGAGATGTGAACTTTCATCCTCGCCCAATTCATCGAGTCCCATGGTGTAATGAAGGGAGGTTCCACACTGGACAGGAAATATGAAAATGGTGACTCTTGATCCTCCGATATGTCATGGTTTTGGATGACAGCGTCCCCCAGAGCCCATTGAGGAGATGGGCCTAGGCCGCATGATTCATTCGTGCCTGCTGGGAAAAGGTCACCCCATTCGCCCGTCATGAAGTTGAAGTCGATTGAGGCATCGTCTATGTTCGTGCTCGATGACTCTGGGACCACCAGGCTACCGTCACCAGTGACGTAATGGGACGAAGTGGCGACATTGGTGATAGTGACAGGGTCGATATTGTCAAATTGGCCTTCGGCCCAGACACTGACAGACTTTTCCAGTGCCGTGTGTTCGTTATTAAGACCGCGGGAGATCAGCGAGAAGTCGAGAGGTGAAGCCTCGTAGAAGCAAGCTCTATTGAGACGTGTGCAGTTGTGGCAGATTGGTCTGGTTTCGTCACACTTGACTTTCCTGGATCGGCAAGTGAGGCAACCCGTTCGCACTCGACCTTTGCGCACGGGTTCGGGAGACATTGTTGGTTGCTTCAAGATCCCTCCAGGTTAGTAAGATTGTTTCCATCTCTTGGAACAAGTGTTTTCCTATCATGGACGGAGGTTGAAAGCGGGGGAGGCTACTCAGGGCTAGCCTAAAATGAGGGTGGCTTGGAACAGTTTTCCCAACGTGCAGGGGGTCTGTGCGCGACAAGTGGTCCCAGGCACGCCAGGCCAGCCAATAATTAGTTGCCAGGCGTGACAATGCTTGGAGAGGGCTGCCAAAGGCAAGATTAAACACACAATACGCCAACCAACACAACAGCCGCGACAAGCCATGAGAGACCCCAACCAGGGGTGGTAACCGCTCCAGACCCCTCTGGTAAGGTATGGCCCTGGCAGTAGTATTCTCCCCGTAGCACGCCGCGGCTCCGCAGCTCGTCCAGTCCCGTGCAGTTAAAATTCATCGTCGAATTCACCTCAAACCGCGATAGCACTTTCGGTCGGGACGGGTTGCCCGCGGTTGCCTTGTAATTGATGAACGGTTTGCTAGTTTTCTCGTAATTAGGAACTGCGGCGGAAATATAAGGATGGGGGGGGGCTGGGGCGAGACTTGCAAGAAATCATTTGTGAACGGGCCCTCGAACGTCATATTTGACACGTCGTTCCTCGGCCATATCCATGTCTTGGTCAAATTCCGTTCGAACGAAGCCGAGTCGGCGGTGCCGGAGGTCAGGTTGAGAAGCGGGTTTCCTGTGATGGCGATCTCCTCCCATTCGTAGTCCGGCCAGTTTCTGTGGAAGCTGAGGGTCGCCAGGTTTTTATTGTCCCTGATGTACAGGCTTTTCATGTGGTCGAAGTCGAGCGGCAGCGTAGTGAACTGGTTGTGCCCAGCGTGGAACTTGTCAACCGTGGCGTTCCACCAGGACGTCTTGTTCCGCGAGAAGTCCACCACGCCGGAGATCGCCACGGTGCCGGCTTCCATCTTGGTGAAGGGCTGGGCGCCGGCCCACAGGATTGAGAGGTTGCCATTGCCAGTGATATTGAGTCTCTGGACCTCGAGAAGCTTGAAGTTCAGGTGGTTAACGTTCGGTACGTGATCCACGTACACGTTACCTGCATTGCCGCTGTGGTTGAAGACGGAATCCAACGACGTGACGGCTACGCTGTGGATGTAGACGTCGCCCCCCTGGAGGGTGAAAATTTGCGGGTTCAGCGTGAACGATTGCAAGCTGGATAGGTCTGTCATGCGAAAGCCCCGTGCCTGGACCAGACCCGTCAGGTCAAGGGTCTCGAGTTTCGGTAGGCCTTCAACTGAGAAATCGCCCCCGACCTTCACTATATGGGGCATGCTGATCTCTGTGACATTTGGTAGGTCTACAAATACCACGTGCTTCCGAACAGCAAACGCGCCCGGCCAGTCAAAGGTCACAAGCGAGGGGATGGAGGTACAGTTGGTGGTCCCGTTGACCCAATCTAGGTCGTCTATTCTCAGGTCCGCAGTGGTCGGCTCGAATAGAACATCGCCAACGACTTCCTCGCAGCCAGCAAGGTTGTGAGCGTCTTGTGCAGTAACTACTACATGCGTTACAGCGTTGCACTCCGTGGCCAGCGTTGCTAGATCGCAATCAGATAACGATGACGGCGAGGGGTGTCGGATTTCCCAGAGTAGACTCACGACTAAGCCACGCGAGTAACACCACGAGGGCATACGCTGTGCTGCGGCGAATGAACCCCATCATGTTTGGTGCATTGCTTGCCCCAGGGTGACCAGTCTGCCGCGATGGTACTAAGCAAACCTAGCGGGGTGCAGCGGCTCTGCAGTCGTAGGAATTGAACTCAGAGCTTTTGGGCTGGGCCGAGGGGAAGGTTGAAGGATCAATTACTCTAGGTTGTTGGTAGGAAGTCAATGATGGGCAATTTCACGCAGTTAAAGTGAACATCGTACGGCAGCGAATCAGGACTTAGAATTTCCTATCAAATCCGTCGTCTATCCTGCGCCACACGGCTGCCAGTAGAAACACTGATGCAATCTCGGGATTTACACTTCGGTCTACAAATCTCGGCTGGGCATTTAACCGCCCCTTGCGCGCGCATGTATGTACCCTAGGGACCTATATGTCAGTAACTAATAGCGACCTCATTGCACGATTCAGTATTCCTAAATTTCCTATATCCGCATAGATTGCTTATAATTATTGCTTATTACCATGACTAGCGACTGAAGTCTTTCTATATTGTAGGCAAAGAATAGAGATTTACTGGGTAGTCGACAATCCTCGCCCGGACAAACTCAGCAAGGCCCTGCAAAGAAACAATAGTGTCAGCGTTTGTAAACACAATGTGGTTGTAGGAAGGATAGCTCCTGTAGATTCTCTCACCTTGCCAAGGCTATCAGGCCTCGATGTGTCTGTCACGCCGCCTCCCAGAAGGTCAAAGAGGACAAAGTGGACGCCCTTGATTCTTGGGAATTCGGTGCGCTCGATTCTAGACACAGTCCGAGCATCGTCCCCAAGCAGCTCGATCAACCTCTGAGTCGTTAGAAAAGAACGGAGCCAATCCCACTCTTCCTGTGACTCCCCTTGCGGGAAGAAGCCGATGTTGACGTTGGCGGCCTTATCCCCGGACCGCGCGAAGACCTTGTGCCCTAGAGGAACTCTGACCGTTGGCCCGAACGCGTCCAGTCCTACGGGGTTCGTGGGCTCGTAGTTCTCCTGGACTACTTCGTTAGGGCCGCTTGTCGTCCCGATGGAGTGAGAAACTGCGATGCAATCCTGCGAGCCAACCCAGTGTACTTTCATATCGACCTTGGACCGATCGATCAGCGCTGGGAAGTAAGCGAGGTACGGTCGCGGCTGGCCAGTACGCGCGTATTCGAGGTTTGGCGTAAAGCCGGGGAATGCCTGGCCGAGGTTTTGTATCAGGGGGTACTCGAAGTTGCGTTTGGTCAGCGTTTCTTCCTTCGCCGCCTGAGCGAACACCCGGATGACCGCGGTCGCTGCGTCCGAAGACCCGGGGTCGGGTGCGCAACCGCCGAGGATCTGTACGTCAAGCTTGTGCAGCTCTTTGGAGGCCAGGTCTCTGCGTAGCTGGGTCTCGAACGATCGAGCCTTCTCCTGGATGTCGAGGCCGATGGCATACACGAGGATCTCGGCCTGGTACCCGGCGTATGCTTGGATGGCGACTTTCAGAGTTTGCGGAGGAGAAAGGCCCTTGAATCCACTGACGCTCACGCGATCCGGTCCCTCCTGGGCCACTTCGATAGAAGAAAGATCGGCTATCACGTCGGGGTTGTAGTAATACCAACCCTGGATCTCATACATCAGCTGACTCCGAACAGTGTCGACGTTGAGGGGCCATTCTGGCCGGGTTGCTTCGTGGCAATGCAATGCCTGTCATTGAAGATCTCGGCAATCGGATATGACAGGTTGTAGTACGGCTGAATGCGCTTGAAGCCGCAAAAGTTTCCTCCCGTCTAATTAGCAGCGAAGGTCAGTCAGTCATTCTTTTCTTCCACTCACATGCCCAGGGGGTTAGATAATTACCCACCACGTAGTTCCCGCATTCAATCAGGTGCCCAGCGACAAGCCCCATGGCATGCTTGTCTAGTCCCCTGGACCCCAGCCAAACCACCACGTAGCAAGAGCCTGCGTAGTGCTCGCGTCAGTTGACCTGCCGGCAATGACAATGTCGGCGCCAACATTGAGCGCCGCCACGAAGCTGAATTGGCCGATGTACGCGTTGGCGATGATTGGCTTGTGTAGCCATGTGCCAAGCGGCTCCCCTGTCGTCAGATGTTTGATGTTTCTCTTGATATATTGAGGAGGAGAGACACAAAACCACCTACCTACCTACCTCTTAACGTAGTATACTCCTGCTAAGGCGTAGGCTCTAACAGCAGTAGCCATGTGATCAGCTGGCAGGCAGATGGAATTGTGCTTCTTTCCTACCTCTAGCGCATGTGACTGGTCAGGTGACCCTGATTAGCCCTAATACGTCTTGCGGTAGTGCCTAAATCTAGTTGTGTAAGTAAGGTAGGAAAACGCTAGCAGTGTAATCAATTGAATTAAAAGTGTAAGAAAGGAATAGAATGCGGTAAATTGAGTATTATTGCATAGAAAGCTTGGAAATAACTAAGGTGTAAAGAGTGCTGCCTGTAAATCTGTGTAAGTCTATGTAATTGATGATAATCTTACAATTTAAAGCCTTAATCATGCTTTTATATAGAAGCGTAGAAAATCTAGTCTAAAGCTGACTTATCCTAGCCTAAAGTAGCCTATGCCTTTTCTATTTACCATGTTACACCTTTCTTCAAGAATCTGCCCTTGTCTTTGCAAAGATTTTTAACTTTAAAGTCTCTAATTAAGGTAGGAAAATAAAAAGAAAAGAAGTAAAAGAAATAGTAGGAAATGTTGTAAGGTGTAGATGTTGCGCTAAGGCAGCCTTTGTTGCCTTGATTCCTAGAATCTAAAGGCTAATTAGGTTTTCTTTCTCTTTTTCTTTGCAAGGTTTACCCCTAGCACCTTTAAAATAGCTGCAAAATTATCTCATTCTACCTATCCTGTAATATAGGTAGGTATTTTAAAAGCCTAATTATCTTTATACTAAGCGTTTGCAGCGTTAAAGATTTGCATAGCTTATAGGCAGCCTTTAGCCTAGTCATTGTCTAAGAAAACTCTCTTTTTAGAAATCACTAGCATTACTTTCTTAAAAGCCTTTTCTTTGAAAGTCTTTTCCTTAAAAGTCTTTTTTTTCTTAGCTAAGAGTAATACTAGCAAAGGTGTAGTTGGTAGAGTTAGTATTAGCAAACTAGCTAAGCTTATTGCCAAGGCATTGTTGTTGTCTAAAGTGTTAGCCTAATTAAAAGCCTTTTTTTTAGCTTTGTAGTTTTTGTTAAAGGTAGCTTAGATAAAGCCTAGCTTTTAATAGGCTATGTAAAAGATAGCTAGCTTGTCTAAATGCTTTAATCTAAAGGTTACCTTGTCTTCTTTTCTTAGCTTTTATCTAATTGCAGCTAAATAAGCTTTTTTAACTTTAGCTTTTTAAAGGTTTATAGTTATATATTAGGCTTGCAAAGATTAAGTCTCCTAGTCTATATCTTTGTAGCTATTTGTAAAAGTCTAGTAATTTCTTATTGTAACTTTAATTGCTTTAATTACTAACAGCAAGCACTTTTAATCTCTAGTCTAGCTAGTTAAAGATGCTACTATAGCTAGCTTAACCTTTTTAACAGTTAGGTTTATTTTAAAAAGCTTTAACTAAGCAATCAACTAATTTAACCATTTTACTACAATAGCATTTTAAGTTATTAGCAATAAGTTAAAGTAAAAGACTTTTCTATTCTTTTAATCAAGCAGCTTAATGCTTTAATAGCTATCTTACTTTATAATAGAATAAACAAGCTATATAAGAATTCTTTAGTCTATAATGCTTATATAGTTAAATATATTTATATCAATCCTATCTATACTTTTCTAGTTTAAATACCAAAGCAATAGGAAAATCTTTATACTTTTAATATCTTTAATAGCTAGGCAAAGCAAAGCATTTGCTACTATTAGCTTAATAGCTTTTTTCTTAATCATATAGCTTTTATAGTTAAATAGGCTAGCAATATACTTGCAAATAGGCATTTAATATATTTTATTTTTATCTAAATAAGGTAAGATTAGGAATTTTAAAAATATATCTTTTAGTGTAATTTCAAAGGCTAGGTTGTTATATAAGATTTAAAGCAGTTAGCTATCTTGCATCTTCTTAGCATTTTCTTTCTAATTAAGCAAATGCTAAAGGTTTTTTAAGTATATAAGGTTGTAGAAGTTTATTTTTAGGTAAATATAGGCAGCTAAATTAAACATCTCTTTAAAGTCAAAATCTTCCTAATTTAGCACTAAAGCAACCTATAGTCAAAAGGTAGAAAATGCTAAAAAAAGCACAATCTTTTTTGCCTTGTAATTAAATAGTTTGCTATTGTTATTAGCTTGATTAAAAGTAGCTAGGTTTTTTTTCTCTTTTTTTTTAATAGCTGCAAGTACTTTTTTAAAGTTAATCAAAACAAATAAAGCTATCTTATTAGAGATTTTTGCATTAGAAAAAGTGTTAAATTAGTGCTAATTGCAGTAATAGTTTAATTGGAAAGACTAAAGCAGTGTAGTTAAATTTATCAAATAGGCTTGCAAAAAAAAGGTAAGTCTAGTGACAAAAATAGAAATAGCAAAGCTTTTTGTTAAAAAGTCTTTGTTGCATATTTAGTCTAGCTAGCTAATTCTATAATACCTTTAATTAGCTTTTGCCTTTTTTTGCCAAATTTGCTTCTTTTTTATTGCTTTTATCTGCTTACTTTTTAGCTAGCTTATTTTTTCTTCTTTAATCTTTTTTTCCCTTTAACTTTTTAAGATCAACCAAACCTTTCTAAACTAGTCTTAATTACTATCTTATCCTTTTAATAGCTTTTAATTAGGCATTGTTTGTTAAGATTAAAAAGATTAATAGCTATATTGCATAGATTGCAGTTAATTTGCCAAAGCTTAATAGTTGCAAGGATTTTTCCAAATTATAAAAAGCTATAGGTTTTGCCTTACTTACTTTATAATCTTGTCTTTTGCTAATATAGATTAAACTTTTTATGCTATCTAAGTTTATAAGATTAATAGTTTTCTAGGCATGTTATATTACAAATAGGTTTTTCCTAATAACTTAGCTGCAATTAAATACCTTTTTACTTCTTTTAAAATTGACAAAAAGTGCTTGTTATAGCTAATTTAATACCTAATAGCTATTTTAAACTTTATTCTTGTTAAGCTTTTAACTAAAGCTTTATTAGGGTATTATTTCCACTAGTTAATAAAGCATAGTTACTAGGTTTAAAGCCTTTTTGTCTAGGCTTTTAGGTATTGCAATGTTGTCTTTTGCAACAATTGTTACAAGATATATTAAAGGTTAAAGTTTTTAATTAACAGTATAAAGATTATAAAGCCTTTTTTTTAAGTATAGTAGTAGGCTTGCTTATGTTTAGCCTTTAAGTTAAGGCTAAGAATTTGTCTCTTAGGAAATATCAAACCTTTTACCTTAGGAAACACTAGACTTTGTCTTTCAAGAGACGCTAAATCTTTACCTTTAAGAAACACCAAACCTTTAACCTTTAGAAGACGCCTAATCTTGTCTTTTAGAAGACACTAGATTTTCTTTCTAAAAGTTACTAAACCTTTACCTTTAAGAAATGCTAGATCTTTACCTTTAAAAGTTACTAGTGACGTGGTGAATGGAAAAGGCATAGGCTGCTTTAGGCTAGGATAAGTTAGCTTTAGACTAGATTTTCTGCGCTTTTATATAAGCGCGCAATTAAGGCTTTAAATTGTAAGATTATAATCAATTACATAGACTTACATAGATTTACAAGCAGCACTCTTTATACCTTAGTTATTTCCAAGCTTTCTATGCAATAATACTTAATTTACTGCATTTTATTCCTTCTTTAAGTCTTTAATTCAATTGATTATGCTGCTAGCATTTTTCTATCTTACTTACATAACTAGATTTAGGCATTACTGTGAGATGTAATAAGGCTGATTAGGGTTACTTGACTAGTTATATGCGCTAGAGGTAAGGAAGAAGCATAATTCTATCTGCCTGCTAGCTAATTATGTAGCTACTGCTATTAGAGCTTATACTTTAGCAGTAGTATATTATGTTGAGAGATAGGTAGGTAGGTGGTTTTGTGTCTTTTCTCCTTATATTTAAGAGGCAATCTAGGATTTGATTTACAAGGCTTACTAGAAGGCTGCAGTTTAATTAGACTGCATAACTATGAGAAAAGCTAGGGTATTAGCTTGACCCTAAAGGCTTTTAGTTAGTATACTCTTTTCTTTTGTTACAAACTAAATATAAAGATGCTTTAAAAGCAGTAGCTTTTTTATTTTGCAAAGCAACTAGCTTTTTGCATTGCTAAGGCAACCAAGCATTAAGCAAAGAAGACTTTTGATTATGCTAAAGTAGCATTAAAACCCTTTCCTTTTCTTTTCCTTTTCTAAAAGATCTTAAGATAAGATAATATAAACCTAGAGTTACCTAATTAGCTAAAAAAGTAGCATGTTAAGAAAGAGAGTATAATTAGACAAGTGCTAGGATTAGAAAGAAAGAAAGGACAAAGATTAAAGCTAAAAGCTATGATAAGAGGATTAGGAAAGCTAAAGGCTAGTAAGGTTTAGACTAAACGACTTGTCTTAAAGCTTAAAAACTAGCTAGTACAAACTGATTAGTTAGTTGCTAAGAAGGCTAATGTATGTGCAAAGAGATGCTAGAATGTTAAGACAGGAAAGAATTGCCTAAAAGAGAAACCTAAAAAAAAAGACTCTTTAGTTTAAAAAGTAGTAAAGAAAAGACTTATAATTAGTAATAACATAAAAGTCTGCATTTAGGCTAAGGTAGTAATAATATTGCTATGGTTTATATTCCTTGGCATAGAAAGCCTAAAAAGCATCTTGGTATTTGTTAAAGACTTAGAATTGTAAGGATAGGCTATTGTGAAAAACCTAAAGCTTCTAATTAGATATCTAGAAAAGGCAAGCTACTTTTATAAGGACTAGGAAAGCAAG